TTATAAACCTGATATAGAAAAATCAGGAGAAATAATTCAAACAGCTTGACTACTGAGCTAATGGGAAACAAGTTACCTGATACCAGAATCTCCCTGCAATAAATAAAAATGGAGAAAGAGTCACCAACAATTTGTAAAGCTGCAGCAGCAGAGAGCTGTGGTTTCTTTGTGTCCACAGTTTGCTGACTCCTGATCATGTGAAACTACTCTGAAAGGCAAATAGCCTTGAAATCATTTGATGGACTGCATAAACAGTCCTGACTGAAACTATGTTGGAAGGTGGTATGCAAGCTGAGAGACCAGGAGAGAAAATACACTAAGTGAAAACCCCAGGTTTATGCTGGTTGTTCTACAGGAATCAGGTGACCAAATATACATTGACTTCAGCTGCAAATAATGCTGCAGTCCTTCCAGCTATTCTAGCATGAGGTTAGATCTTTGCACACATCACTTTTGTTTCCCTTGAGCGTGACATAATATCGGATCTCAACGGAAATAGAAATGCAAATTGTGCTTTGAAATTCAGATCAACTGAAACTTGGAGACCCAACTCATAAATGTTTCGAAAGTACAGCTTATCAGAAATCACTGCACTGAGCTTCTTTTAAAGGGCTGCCCTGCTGTTTTTTTGAAGCTGCAGCAACTGAAGTCCTGGGAGACAAGAACCTGGAGTTAGCATCAGCATTTAACCCAAGGGCAAATGCAAATGTACATGATATATTAGCACGTATAACCACATACTGGAATGATCCTCTATCACGTAGCTACAGGGCTCAGACATCACTGCAGTTAAGTGAGAGATGCTTACTACCACATTCTGCACAACAGGCCAATCTATGCCAGTATGGTTTTGGTTTTTTGGCTTTTTTTTTCCCCCTCTTTCAAAGTGTTCACTGCTAACAGCACTGAAGTAGAACAACTGAGGTTGCTATACCACATATATCAGCAGTGAGGAGTTTCAGAGACAGGGTGCACTGCCCTAGCAGGCAAGCACAACAGGCAGCCACACACTGCTCACTCCTTACCTCGAGGAAGGTGGGAAGCTCCAATGTGTAGAGGAGGCCCAGGAGCACTACTTCTGATGATTGACATCTGCACATTAGTAGCCATAATATGGTGCAGGTTGCTAGGGTGGCCCTGGAGAATTAAAAGACATAAATCAAAAAATAAACAGTGAGCTCTGTGGATAAGAATTAACAGCCATTCTGACAGCATTACCTCAAGACTTCTAAAGACAGAAAAGATTTTGTAGAAATATATGCTACAAAGAATATCACAGGCAAGTAAAGAAACAGGGAGAAGTCAGAGCCAGCTGACACTGTACAGGAAAGATGTCAACCAGAGATCTGTTTTTCTATTTGGCACATGGCAGACTGTCAGCAGTCACTCAGACACCAACCTGAGACATGTCCCTTCTGCTACCAGTGACCTTAAAGACACAGATCTCTACCACCTTGCCATTCAGGTCAAAAGAACAGCAGCACTCTGACAAAAACTGTAACAAATGAATTCAATTTTCTAACATTGCTGGACTTTTTATGAGTCATCATGAAAATAACAGCATATCCAAACTCAAATCCTCCTAAGGACACTACATGGAAGCCCTGAGACTTCAGAGGGTTTGCAATGAATGTCCTGGCACACTGGCTTCAAATTTAATTATCTAAAGAACATAACAGCTTTGGATATATTTCTCCTATTGCAGTCTCACTGTCATTTGGATGATTACACCAATTCAGGAGCTTTCTAGAGAGCCAGCAGTAACTGAAGCATATTGCTCCAAGCAGAACTGATCAACAGAGTGACCACTGGACAGAGAAGCCTGCTCTCTTCCTCCCCCCTGCTTCAAGAGCTTGACCTGCTGTGTCAGTGCTGCGCTTCTCTGACCTTACAGTGATTGCAGCAGAAATCACAGACCTGCTGTCCACTGATGGTGGCCACAGGGATGGTTGGAGCCTGCGGGATGCTGCTCTCCATGGTGACTGTGACTTGTCCAGGAACCTTTGTAGGAGCTGAGAGGGTCGAGGGTGGTGCGGGAGCGATGGGCCGGCTGGGCATGGTGGGCTTCAGTGGTGGCTGCAAGAAAGAAGTGTCAGGAGTGCTGCCAACTCCCAGTGGCAACTCAGGGTTGGAGAAACCATTCCTGGAGGTGGAGGAGAAAGCCAGCTTTGCCCAAAAGTAAGTAGGGCCAGGGGTCTGAAAAGCCATTCCATTTTCACCCAGGACAAAGAGCGTGTTTTGTGCTGGAATTAGGCAGCTTCTAACACAAAGCATGGATCTGTTGGGGTTGTAGCCTTTCTCTACACACTGTGCATCAGCAGTTTGGTTCATATTCTCATCCACTCTCACAGAGAGAACATTTCTGAAGTCACTCTAAGGGGTGCACAAAATCCACCCCTTCAGAATAACACTGTGATGCCAGGAAGGCCTCAGTGTGACACATGGAACAGCTCCATTCAGAGCCATCAGAGCACAGAGCAAAAATCAAACAATGAAAACAGGGAACTCCCTGACTTGTGCTCAGCACTTCAAGTTTTAATACAGGTTAAAAAAAAGAAATGCACCTACAAGTTAAAAGAAGAAGGAGAAAAAAAACTCAACTTGCTTTTCTCATCTAAATGCATTCCTCCATGACCCCTCCTTACCTTCATGAGCCCATCTGAGAAGGAGAGGGGCACAGCCGGTGCCAGGTGTGCAGGTGGGGCTGCCACCGTCACCGGTGCTCCGGGAGGCACCGGGTGGTGCGGGGCCAACATCTGCACCTGCGGGTAGGGCCGCACCACCACGGGCTCCTGCTTCTCCTCGCGGGGCGGTGCAGGAGCGCCGGGGCCCAGGTGCTGCTCCCTGGGGGCCACCTCGGGGTCACGGACAGACTCATCGCTCGCTGCAAAGAGAAGAGAGGCGTCGAGAGACGAAGAGACGCAGAGCCGAGCGAAGCCGAGCGGAGCCGAAGCTCCCCGCCGCTCCCCCTCCCCCCGCCGGGGCCGCACGCAGCCCCGCCCCATCCCGCTTACTCGTGGCCGCGGGGGCGATGAGTCCGGCGGTGCCGCTGGCGGGTCCGGTGGGCGGGTTGGCTCCCAAACCGGCGGGAGGCGCGCCCGAACGGGGGAACTGCTGAGAGCTCATCTCCGCCTGCGGACAGAGCCGACAGAACGGCCGTTACGTCGCGCCGCGCGCATCACGCTGCCCGCGCCGCCCCCGCCCCGCGGGTTCCGCCCCGCTCATTGGGCGCGACGCCAGAAGCCCCGCCCCCTTCTCGCCCCGCCCCCTCCGCGATAGCCAATGGGTTGCGGCGTCGCGCGGCCAGTCAGGAACGGCCGCAGCGGCGCCCTCAGGAGGCGCCGAACCAATGGGGGGGGGTCGGGACGCTGCCCAATGGGGGCCGCCCTGCCGCCGGGCCCCGCCCCGCCCCGCCGAGCCGCCCGGCGGGGCCCGGATGTGCTCGGCAGCGCGGCGCTACCAGCCCGCCGCAGCCCTGCCCCGCTCTGCCCGTCCTAAGCCCGACGCGGCGTCCCAGGTCCGCCCCGCCCCGCCGTCGCTTCGCTCCGCGTCCGCAGCGCTGCGGCTGCCGCAAGCTCCCCTGCCGCTCCCTGCCCGCCGCCGGCCCCATCGCCGCCCTCAGCGTCTGACAGCCCGCTACCCGCTGCCGTACCTGCCTCGGGGCGCGGCCCCGACTCTCGCTGCGCGCCGCCGGCGCCCAGAACCGAGCTGCGCTTCCGCCGCCGCCGCTGCCCACGGCGGATTGGCTCTGCTCCGTCCCGCCCCCCGCTTCGTTCCCGCACACTATTGGCCGCGACCGCAGCTCGCGGGGGCTGCTGGCGGGTGTAGTCCGAGACCGCGCTGTCGCGGCGAAGATCTCGCGAGACGTCGGGGAGGCGGCACCCGGCCGCGGCTCGCTATTGGCTGGAGCACGCGGGGTTTCCCGGGCAACGCGGCGGGGCGGGGCCGAGCGATGCCTGTCCCCCGGGGCCGCGGCTTGAGGGGCGGCTGTGGGAGCGGCAGAACGGGAGCTGTTTCTGCTCGGCACGGTGACACCGCCGGCACAATCGGTCCGCCCCGCGCCCTGCCTAAAGTCCTGCCCAGAGCAACCGAGTTCCACTCCCAACTGGGCTGCTCGCGGCGGGAGGGCGGAGTGGAGCGTCCCGCCCCAAGATGGCGGCGCGGTGACGCTCTGCTCCGTCCGCCGCAACTCTATGGCGGTGCGGCGCCTCTCGCCAGGAAGCGGAAGCGCGGCGCCCGGAAGCGGCGGGAGCGGCGCGAGCCGGAAGGGCGCGTGGCGGCCGGCGGCAGGTGAGGTTAGCGGGGCGACTCGCGCGGCGGACGCGGCCGCGGTCCCTTGGTAGGGAGGTAGGTTGGCAGGCAGGGCAGGCGGAAGGGAGAGGTGGGGATGGTGGGGGCTCTCGGTGCTTGGGGCGGGGTGCCAGCGCGGAACCCGGGGGCCCTCCTGTCTGAAGGCAGCGGTGCGGTGACGTGTGCCTGTGTGCCGCTAGGGCTGGACGGGGAGCGCTTGGACAGCGCCTCAGAACCGGGGTTCGGATTTGGGTGGCCCTTTGTGGGACCGGGAGTTGGACTCGATGGTTCTTGGGGTCCTTTCTGATTCGGTTTCTGTGATTCTGAGAAGTACCCTGTTCTGAGAGGGACCGTGGACGGTGTTATCCACAAAAACGGGGATCACAAATAAAGGGTGCGTGGGTTTGTGCAGTAAATGCACTGCAGTCAGGAGAGAGGCTTGGATTTTGGGAGGCTGTGGAAGAAAGCTACCATGAGAACTGCCATCTTCCATAGGCTCATGGAAGCTGTGGGCAAGGAAATCCCCCATAGTTGCCTTGTGGTGATTGGTCACAGAATACACAGCCATGAAAGAAGGTGTGAGTGGCAAAGAAATGACATGTGTGTGTATACCTATACACTGTATCACTTTGAGGTGGGAGCAGTGGTGCTGGCAGTTGGTTGTCTCATTTCTCACAGTAAGTTGTGTCACTTTGTTCCTATTCCAGCTTCTGATCCTGGTGGCATGTAGTGCCTGCAGGCAATGGGCATTTCCTCACTCCCTGGAGCAGAGGTGTGCTGTATGCAGCTGAGCATAAGGGGCTGACTGGGACTCTGACCTCGCCTGACTCCTTTGACATTGGTTTGTGTGGCTGTGGGGGTGTCTGTGTGAAGGGAGGATGTGATAGCTTTTTGTTCAATTGTCCTAATTCAAAGGCTCCCTGTTTGTAGTACACTGTAAAGTGAGTTGCATGTGGTGTGGATGTCCCAGAAGAGAAGTACTTTTATTTAAAAGCATGACCATCAAAGAGGCAGGGATTGATTTAGGTTTGATTGTAGTTCAGGAGTTGGATTTTAAAATAATTTTTCTCTTTTCCTGGCTCCATAGTGTTTTTAATTTTGTAAATGCATGATTAACTGAATTATTACAGGCCACCCAATCTTGAAATGTCTTCTTATATTTGGATATGTGAGATTCTGCTCTTACAAAGAGACAGCACAAAGCTGACTTGTTTTCTTCATCTTTTTTAGACTTCCCCTATAAAATGGGAATTCTTATTGCAATTCTGGGGGTCTGGTTCAGCTGCTCATTTGTAAAAGGAGATTCTAAGGCTGTGACAACATCTCTAACTACAAAGTGGTCTTCAACTCCTCTGCTCCTTGAGACAAGGTCAGTGCACTGTGATTTTCATTCACAAATCAGATGTACTTAGAGTATAAAGCAGTATGTCTCTCTGTGTTTAGAAACTGTAAATTACTTTTCTTAGTGTTTACTACAAGAGTACATGGTTACTATTTTCAAGGTGAAGCTGGGTAAGGCCCTGGGCAACCTGTTCTTGTTGTGGATGTCTCTGTTCATTGCAGGGCACTAGATGGCCTTCAGAGGTCCCTTCCAACTCTTAAGGATTCTATGATGTATCACTTTGTTGTAAGCAGTCCTGTATGGTGTCTTAGTGTCCAGTTTGACTTGGAGGTATTGGTCTTCTATTTCTTGTGACACAGCCCTGCTCCTGCATTCTGTGTCTGTGTAGAGGCAGCTCTCTCTTAATACATTAAGCCTTGAGCATCACTCAGAAAAAACCCCATTTGCTCCCATCCAAGTGCATTTACACACAGCTGTATCCCTAGGAAGCTGCAGCTTTTGGGGCAGTTGCTTCTATTTCCCTCCTGTCAGGTGCATTTGACATACAGGCATGGGCAGGAGCTGCCCTCTGCCTGCATTCTTAACTCTGGTGATGACTGCAGGTTTTGATGTGTATCTGTTCCTTGCATGGGTTTAGCTCGAGTTTAATTTTGTTTCTGTGAGTTGTGCAGCCGTGCCTGCAGAGATCTATTCCAATTAAAGATCTTTATCTTTTTTTAAAGGTGTTGTTTAAGTTAGGGAAATAATTGTATCATGCTGTAAGTAAATATGGGCAAGCTGAAGTCACAGATTATACTGTATTTTATTTATAAAACAATGTTTTGACTAGATATGTTGTGTAATCAGTTACAAGGGAATGGTGTACAGGCCTGTGTGCTAAATGCTGGCCTCCTCCTGCCTGTCGGCTTAGCATTTCACAAGTCCCAGTCATTTCATTGCACAGAATAAGCATCTGATGATGTCAAAGCAAAGCAGGCCTTTGTGGTGCTTATGCAAGTGTGTGTGTGTGATGAATTTGGTATTGTTTAGAGGTGTTGCCATATGTGGAATTCTGTCTGTTAGCACAGTTGGTTCATGTGCAAATATTCAGGCATTGGGCATTTTGCTGGGCTTGACAGAGAACGATAGGACAGGTGTGCCTTGGGTGAAATTAATTGCTCTCATGTAACCTCCTCTGTAGAACTTCAGTTTCAAGACTGAAAAGACCTCAAGCAGTAAAGTGCAAAGCCCAGGTGCTGATGCTGGGATTTAAAGATCCTGACAATGTCAAACATTTTTAGGGGGAAAACTTAGAGGGATCTTAGAGGGAGCTTAGCAGGAAAGCTCACCTAGAAGACCAGGAAATAGGAGCCCAGTAATAATTATGTACTAAGGCTTGGTTTGTAACCTGACCAAGACTTTGGATAGCTCTGTTCATCTTAGGTGAACTCCAGAATGATGCAGCACTGCAGAGCCAAATCGTTCCTGCTGCTTGATGTACCCAGCACTGCCATTCAGTACCTAAATATCTCAACAATGCTTATTGCAGTAGGTCAGAAGGGCTTGGAACGAGCACCTATGCTACTGCAGTGTCTAGTGGGCTTCACAGCTTGTGTTATGACATCCTTTAGCATATGAAATGGTACAAGGGAGCTATTTTTGCTGAGTCTCTGTGCCCCTATAACTGTGTACTTAATACAAATTATGATGTTATGGTTTGAAGCTGTCTGTGACTTCTCTCTTTGCTCATTAAAACAACCCCATGCCACTTAAGCCAGTAGCTCTAACCAGCTATAGTTTATTGCACTAAAGTAAACAAAAATGTCTGCTTCATATAAAAGAAGTGGAGGAGGAAGAAGGGCTCCCAGAATGTGCACTTCAGTCTTTGAGAGATGAACAAGTGCTGATCAGCTTCTTTTGTGTAATATGCATTTGTCCTGGCCTGCAGCTATTCATTGCTTTGTTTATTGTTAGCTTTCCTGGTTTGCTTTGTTGTAGTAATATACAGCTTCCTGCCATGGGTGAAGGTATGGTGGGAGCTGATCTTCTGTGAAACTTTGCAAGGTATCAGTACTGTAAGAGAACTCACAGACTTAGCTATGTCCTCTCTTCTGCAGTGAATTTCTGTCAGAAGAAAGCCAAGAAAAGTTCTGGAATTTCATTGAAGCCAGTCAGCACATCAGGACATCTGAACATGATGGTAAGTTTTCATAATGATTTTCTTTAATCACTGGAAATGGGCATGGTTGAAAAATAATCTTTTTTTTTTTTTTGTCTTCCATTGTATAATATTGTGAAAATCAGTGAGGGCTGACTTTGGTATTGTTTTTTCTGTGGGAGTGCTTGAGGTGTTTGATGTCCATTTGACAAAAGCAGTGCAGATAACTGTTTTACTTCCAAGTTTTGTCTCCACATCAAGCATAAAATATTACTGGTATTTTCATTTCTAAACTGAAGTTAAATGGGGGCTCTTACTGTTTCCCTGCTCCTGTTTGCATGCATATAAGTGTCCATGTTCTCTCATGGATGGTGTTAATGAAGTTAACTCTCATCCATCTGTGGTACTTGTAATGAAAATTAAGGAGGAAAGGTCATGTGCGTATTTTTAATTAACACCAGTGGGATTCTGTTGATATAAATCTCAATTAGTGGGGATATGATATAGGAGGATAACTGCTTGTGCTCTGACTTTGCAGGCAGTGATTATTCTGCTTACCATGAAATTCTGAAGGTAGCCTCCCAGAGCTTGTCACCTTTACAGCAGAATTTGTTGAAGTTTTCTTTGTCCTTACGTTCTTACTCTGCAACAGTTCAAGCTTTTCAGCAGGTTAGTACAGCATGGGAGAAATCTTCCAATGTTTTCTAAAGCATTAAGGTAAGGCCTCTGAGAAGGAGCCATCTGTGTTACAGATAACAAAATGTTAAACTGACTGGTGCTTCATACAGCTGAGCTCAGGAGCACAGGTACGTGCTGATTTTGTTGTGTGCCAGACTGGAGTCCATCTGTCTACTGCAGCCTAAAGAATTGGGATTTTGAAATCTTTGGCACATCTTTGGTACCCACTGCACTCACAGATGTGTGGAGACTTCTGAAGAAAATTATGGCTCTGTTGATACTTATGGTGCTAGTGATGCTCCCATTATTCAGTTGTACATCCACAAATGTGTATTTGTAGTGATTTGAACCTCTGATGGGCACTTTGTTGTGTTCTGTGTTCCTTGTTAACCATGCTGGCTATGCAGTTTGTTGCAAGCCATTCATTATAATGTGCTTTTTTGAAGCAAACAGAAGGAGGCATCTTCTTTTTTGTCTTGAATCATTTTACCATTTCTGTTGAGCAAATGTAGTGGTTTCTAGCATATAATACAAAGCATACCAAGCCTTTGCAATTGTGGGTCCCAATTTCTGTGCTTGGAACTGTTATCACAGTTGAGAGTAATAAGCTAACAAAATAATTATAAAAATTTAAGACCTATTTATCAGTCTTGTGACTTTTGCCTCATGTTTAATTTATATAATAAATAGGAAAAGAGACCAATTACTATAGACCTCTCCTGTTTCAGTTTCACTCATTCTCAGGGTAAACATTCAACCTATTACTGCAAATATTTCAATACAGATAGCAGCAGATGAGCCTCCACCGAAGGGTTGTCCCCTATTTTTTGCTGTGCATGGGGAGAAGACATGTGAATACGACTCTCTTGGAACACTTCTGAAGACTGCTTCAGAAAGGTAATTTGCTTCTTTTCCAATTGCTAAATCAGATCTTAAAAGTGAACCTGGCTGTACTGCTGTAGGGAGACTGTCATGAGTCAGTAGTTTCTGGTTCTTCAGTTTTGATGTATCCATTTCTTGCATAGAAGTGGTAGTCTCTTATTCCTTACTAATTGTGATTGGAATTAGTATTTACTGATCCCTTGCTCTAGTAGCCTTTTATTTTTATACAGAACTTCTGAATCACAAAATAAAAGTAACTGAAATTTTAAAGGACACGGTTAACTTTTAAGAAAAGGTATTGTAGCAATTGGACAGATCAGTATGATGGGAAAAGGTGTTTGACCAGAGGTGTAATGACTAAGGATCAACATGATAGAAAGGTGCTACAGAGGAGGGTAAGAAGATGGCTCATCCCTGTCAGAAGACTTCAGGTTTGCAGGGAAAGCTTCACCAAAGATGGATCTCCAGAAAGAGATCCTTCCCTGGGGGCAGTCAGCCCTTCAATGAGGTTTAAGAGAGGTGCAGCCAGGCTGCACCCCTTCCTATCTCACAGCTGTTCTCCCAGGGCTGACCAGGTCCTTTCCCAGGTGCTCAATCAGTGGGTCAGGCCAGGACTCAACAGTTCACATTCTGGATATCGTATTAGCTTCAAAATAGCAGTTAGCTATTTGTTGTGTTTTCATGTGTCCATTTTTAACAAAGCCTTATCAGCATTGCATCTAGTGCTGCCAGCCCTGGTATTGCATATGTATGCTGTGAAGGCAGAGGAGATGTTTAAACATGAGCAAAAGAAATTGTGAACTTTGCACTGAGTAAGGAAATGGTACGAATCACATTGTGATGATCTTCAATGTTTGCTCTTAGATCAAAGCCCTTTTTGTTCAAAGGGGACCACACGTACCCAGCATCCAACCCCGAGCGTCCTGTTGTCATACTGTATGCTGAGATTGGCACAGAGGATTTCTACAGGTTCCATAAGCTGCTTGTTATAAAGGCTGAGGCAGGAGAAATCACTTATGTCCTCAGACACTATATTGCTGTAAGTATATATACATGCTCAGGGTAAAACAGGCAAGAATAACTGTCCAGGTGAGGCCAAAAGGAAAAGTGATCTTGGTTAGCTCCCTTTAAATTGACACTTGCATAATGCATTGCTTTCATCATTATTTGGCATACTCACTGTTTATTGCTTCATTGCACGTAGCTGAGAAATACAGACTCTTTTATCTCCTGACTGTTTAAGTAAGAGGGTCATTTAGTTTTTCCAAATGCAGAGCTAATCTCCAGATAAACTACAGAGTTTGACCTAGAAAAATGTTGCTCTAAGAAATAAGAATTGGATCTTTCCATGGCTTGGCCACCTGAGTCACTTGGTATGAAGAGCAGAGATTAACCTTAGGATGCCATTTCAAATAAAAGGCAGTTTTGTTACAGAACCACTTACTGCTCCTAGTATGACTTGTCCTGTTTGCCATCTTCCTCCCTTAACCCGTAACCATAGAACTGATGTTTACCTAGATTTTAAAAACTCAGAGAAATTGGACTGATATGACATTTTTCTGAATATCACTTAATGGAACCAAACCTAATGTAGTCCTACACTGCATGTACTGCTTTCATTTTTAACAATTATCTGTTTATTACCACTGGGAGAGGTCTGAAGCAAGAAATTAAGTGTATTGCACGATTGGTCTTGTCATGGTTGTGCTATTACAACACGTTACTGGAAGCTCACTCACTGTATTCATCACTGACCCATTACCAGTTAGATGTAAAGCATGTACCAGCTTGGGATTTCGAAGCTTTGGGAAATGGCAGCTTTTAATTTGGAGATCAAAACAATGAGTAGCAATATTGCAACATTTGCTTTTCCTTACAGAATCCCAGTAAGGAAAAAGTCTACCTCTCTGGCTATGGTGTGGAACTGGCTATTAAAAGTACTGAATATAAGGCCAAGGATGATACACAGGTGAAAGGTGAATTCTTGTTTTAATAACTAATGTGGGTGCTTCAATTTTATAAGGTTCTTTTGTTTTGTTGGTTTTTTTTAAACAAATGGCTGTTTGACTGAACTGCAGATACTCTTCTCTCTGAACTGACATTACCAAAATCACTACCTCCTCTTCTCTATGTTCATTCAATCATTCTGGTTGCAGATCAGAGCTCTTGCAGTGCTATGGAGTACTGACAAAAGAAACTATTGGTCTTTATTTGTAAAATGGACAAATTACTTGCATTGCTATGAGCTGCAAAATCAGCTGCACTGATATTGTATTGCAAATTAGAGGTGTATGGCTTTCATCCAGCTCCTGTTGATTCTGGATGTATTCTGCATGCAGTCTTCTGTGCGTGTCTGTGCTCTTTCTGCCTGTCCAGAAGCAATCATTTATTCAAAAGGTCAAGACTTTGATTGGACTTGAGCATGAAACACATAGATTAGAGCTGGTCTGTGTCCAGCAATTAGGTCATTATGCTCAGGATTATATGATCAGAATTGCATTCATGGTTGGAGTTTGTCACTTTCTCTACAAAGCTTGTGTGTCCTGAGATCTCCTAGGTCCTACTGATTTTGCAGTGCCTACATACCTGAGATTTCTAACTACTTTAATCTTTTCTTTGTAAACAATCCACCCTGATTTTATTTCAGCAGTTACTGTGTCCATTTGTACAGTTAGTACCTCTTGAATACAGGTTGACAAGTGTCCTTTCTTTCCTCTTGTGGAATGCAGTGCATTTTGGTAAGCTTATCAAAGTACACATGAGAGCTTTCTGAATAATTCAGCAGTGTTTTTCTTCTCTGTGTGTTCATAGGCACTGATGTGAATGCTACAGTAATAGATGAAGATGACCCTATTGATGAGGTGCAAGGATTTCTTTTTGGGAAATTAAGGTAAAGCTAAGTTGCATATTGTTAGTCTTCGTCATATTGAGCAACTTGATGCATAGATGCTGATCTTCTGCTTTGTTGCTATTTAAATATCTGGGTTATCCACATGTGTTAGCAGCAAACTTTTTCATATATTAGTGTATTTGAATTAGTGGCAGACTTAATTACAGGAAGCTGCAGAATTTGCTTGACCCTCATTCCCTTTTAGGCAGTTGTATCCTGACTTGACTGAAGAGCTGAAAGAGCTTAGAAAACACCTCGTGGAAAGTACCAATGAGATGGCACCCTTGAAAGTATGGCAGTTACAAGGTAATCTGTGTGTAGACTTTCAATATTGCACTGTAAAAACTTACAGTAAACCTTTCTTCCTGTGCTCTGTGCAAATGAAGCAGTAGCAACCCTATTCAGTTGGAGAGTTTGACTGTAAATTCCTGCATTGGCTTTCTAAAGCTCCTTTGCTGAGTCCTACTGAAATAAGTTTTGGAAAGTTTCTTTCATGGACTTCTGAAGTGAGGTTTACTTTCTGTATTGTAAAGTATATCAAACCCACTTGCTCTTAAACTGACTGCTTGTATCATGTGCTAAATGCAGAAAAGGCAAAGGAAATGTAAAGATAGAAAATGACTTTTATGTGTAACTAATAAGCAAAAAAGTTGCAAGTCAAATGTAAGATGGCTGCAGTAGCTTCTTTCATCTGACTGTTGGTTCACTTGCAGATTTAAGTTTTCAAACTGCTGCACGTATTTTGGCTGCTCCTCCTGTGGATGCTTTGATGGTCATGAAAGATCTGAGTCAGAACTTCCCTACAAAGGCCAGGTGATTCTAGTGATGAATGCTTTGGACATTTTCTGTTTTTTCTCAGCAGAGCACGAGATGGGCAACATCGGTTGAGTTAATGAATGTCTGTGTTTCTGTTTAGCTGGAAGCAACCTCTGGGGAATGTTTGTGCACCGTTCTTCAACTTATGGCTGAAAGGGGGTCTCACAGCATTTCTTTGGTGGCACTGGTGTGATCTGGTGGTAAATTTGACAGAACCAGCTATGCTATTATTGTGAAATGCTTCCGAGCCTTTTGCATCAAGTCCTCAAGAATTTATTGGATAGTGTTCCTGTTTGGAGGCTTTAGGCTTAACCTTTTCTCTGAATGACTCTTTTGAGATCCCCTTTGGCAAACTGCTCACTCAGCCTCGTGTCAGACATTGATGTGCCATTCCACTGCTCTTTGTGCTTCATCAATTACATGAGCATACTCAAATTAAAGAACGTGTCATAATTTAGCCTGCCCAACCAATGTAGAAATAGATTCTTTTTGATAGGTTTAATGACCTGGGGGGTGAAGATGAGTACATAGGAACTATTCTTTTTTGAGCAGGTAGAGATACACTGGAGAGTAAAAAGAAGCTGAGTTCTGCTCTCATCTCTAATAACTGATGTTAAGATTTAGTTGCTTATAGTTTCCTGAGTTATGCTTTTTCCTGTCATCTAGTTTCTGGTCAGATTTGTGAGCTGAACTTGCCCATTCCATGATGGTGCAATCACTAGATCCAGTGAAGGGGAAAGGAACAAGAGCCCACTAGGAATGAAATCTCCATGTCTTGTGCTGTCAGATTCTACTGTTCTAGAAGCAGCCCACTTTTATTATGGGTTAATGTGAAACTAGACACTGAGAGCCAAAAGCTTGTCTTTCTTGGTGTAGTTTGCATGTGAATAATGTTTTTATGTTCCCTTGAATTAATATATATTAAAGAATAACATATATGAAAACTATATATATTTCTAATATATTTTAAGGAGCATCTGTGAAAAAGTAGTGCATCCAAGTGTTTAATGGTACCTCGAAATGCAAGTTCTTCTGATTGTAGCTTTTCATACTAAGGAACTAAATATACTGTTATTTAAGTTACAAAAAGTGGGTTAGTTAGGTAAGTAATCTATTCACTAGGTAAACAGAAAGTTGATTCACAGCATCATGTTTTTATTTCTGCAGAGCCATAACAAAAACAGTTGTTTCCATGGAACTCAGAACAGAAATTGAAGAGAACCAAAAGGTAACACTTCAAGAAAGTCATGTAGTGCTATCTCACTTGTTTTAATAAAAGTTTAAGCTTTAATAGTAATGATTCTATTAAAAACTTTATATTTGGCTCAAAATATTGACCCACTATTTTCACTCACAACTTTGTCATGCTATATGAAAATGTATAAGATAGAAACAATATGTGAACAGTATTTGAACATCTGATCTGTTGCCTGCATTTATTTACCTTTATAAAATGAGCTTTAATAGCAATGGAAATGTTCTATTTATTTACAGAAAACATGTGGTTAAGATGTTCTTAGGCTTTCCATGTAGACTGTCTTAATGTGAGCAATGCATCAAAAGCAAAGTAGTAGAAATTTGGATGTCTGTCACATCAGTCCACCCCAAATTGGAGCTCTGTGTGGTGATGGCTTATCAGCTCAAGTTTTAGAGATGTGGCCACTGTTTTGGGAGGAATTGCACCTGCTGGATGGCCTTTCATGTCTCTGACTTTGCTCTTGCTTGAATGGTACAGCAGATGTGTGATGTCTGTGTGTCATAACACAGGTCATCCTGGTTCATATTACTAAGAGGCTTACACTGATTTCAGGTCAACGACTGTAGGTTTTGATCAACTGAATATTAAATAAGAGTGTTTTTTTTAGTCAAAGTAGAGTTAAAAGGGTAGTTACACTTGGGGATTATTTTAAAGTATCTGTGCTGGATAGAGTGTAGCTTGTTAGAAGGTTATTGCCTGAAGAGTTTAAAGTATCTTTTAACAGCTTTCAAGGATGCAGAATAAATTTAGTTCTCATCCCCTCGTTTGAGGCAGTGCTTAGGTATCAGAATTCAGCAGTGCTCACAGTGAAGCAGCTGAAAAAACACAAAACCTTCTGCTTTGGCTTATAAGGAGCCACACTGAGGAGGACATTATTCCAGTGCTACAATTCTGAGTGTAAAGAAATAAAATCTAACATCTACTTGTTCAGCCTACATGTGTTTTGAAATTAAAGTGAAGTTTGTGAGGGCCCAAAGAGCCTGGCAAGTTTGTGACCCTTGAGTAAGCTCAAGTGATTGGAGAAATATGTTTTAGCACCTCTGTTGTATCCTTGGTATTAACAAAGCACTGAAAAAACAATAGGCACGTGGGAATTCTGTGTAGTACAGTTAAAATACACCTGGTTGTGCCATCTGGATAAATACAAAATGAAAGTTTAAGATTGTAATAAAAACAGAGCCAAACAGTAGCTTTTAGTATGTGGTTTATGCTGATCTGTTCATGCATTTCAGTCTAACTTGACATTAATAGGAAAAGTGAAAGGTAGGCAGTTATGTCTTTGTTTTTAAAACCCAATTGATGACATTTAGATAGTTCATTAGTAAATGCACAATTACCTGAAGGCTAATTAAGGATACCCTGAGATTCCTGTTCTGAAAGAGAAATCCCTTGTTATTCAATAGTGATAAAATGTGAACAGAAGGGATGTGGTTTGACACTGCTGTCTGGTGTGGTTCTGGAAGGGACAAAATCTAGAATGTAGGTGCAAGTTAAGCTGTCTGATGGCTTCTCTGTTTTGTGCTAGAGCAGTCTGGTCCATAGGTCCAAGAATTGGTGGGTGCAGATTCATTCCAAACCCATTTGGGCTACTAGATCCCAACCAGGCTAGATCTAACCCTGCCCTGTAAGTGTTCTTTGCATGACGGTCAGTCTGTGTGAGTATTGACTGGTGGCGAAGTTCCTTTGGTAAGGGAAAGGTTAGTAGATAATTATCCACAAAAAAGTACAACTTAACTGCAGGTGCTCAGCTCTTCTTTGAGAGCATTGTTATTTAATAAAATACCTAAATTCCTCCTGACTGCTTTCCTATTCTTGGTACTTCATGTGGTACTTAGCTATTCTTCCATTACTTTGCTCATTTTCACGATATCAGGCTTTTTTAATGTCTAAACACTATGCTTTCCTTCACTGTTCATCAAAATACTAAATGACTGCTCTAAGAATTTCTGATAATTTAATCAAGTATATTCTAAAAGTCCACTGAGGGACTTTCCAAAGCTACTGCTGAGTCATACAGAAACAGAAGTGCCACATGTGTGTCTATGCACTAGCTAGCTTCACTTGTCTTCCTCTGCCATGGGCATGTGCATCAAGTCAACAGAGGCTGTAGTTGAGAAGCCACGTCATGCATTTTGGAGTAGTAACAGAGGTAAAATCCAGTTTTGACACACTGAACTCTCTAGTATTTGTGTTCTGTCCACAGCATTCTTCTAACGGCCATCTACTTTCTTTCAGTATTTCAAAGGAACGTTAGGATTACAGCCAGGGGATTCTGCTCTCTTCATCAATGGACTACATATTGATTTAGACACTCAGGACATATTTAGGTGGGAATGTTTTCTTTTTCAGAAAAATTGTATCCTGTTTAGAATCATGCATCCTGCTTGTGCATGGATAGTGGAGTCATTTAGACAGCGTGAGCCTCCTTTGGCAGTGTCTGTATTTAGACTAGGTTTAATTGTTAACTTCTGCAAAAAGCAAATTGTGTTTCCTTCCCTTATGCAAATACTTGTTCAACAAAGCAAAGCAAAGCAAACTGCTGGGAAAACTGCAGTATCCTGGGATATCAGAATGGGAAGTCACCTTCGTACTGTTGTTATGATCTGTCCTGTGAACATGCAAGACTTTGGTTTCCAAGGGCTGTCTTCAGATTTTATTCTGAAGACAGTAGAATATTTGATTCTCAAAAGAAAAGTCCCTGTAAGTCTTTCATCTGAAAGCCACCCTTTATCTTTGTCAAGATCTGTTTCAGTAGTGTGCAATTGAAATTACACATGTATATCATGCCTTACTTATCTTTACGTAATGTGGTTTTTCCTAGAAATATAACTGAATAGGTTTAAGTTATCTCAAGTTCCTTGGGAGGTTTAGGAATAAGTGAGAAACAAGAAGTAATGCATAGATGTGGCAGACTTGTCTATACCTTTTATCTGTTAACTCTTAGGATGCAAACAGTTATTTGTTATCTTTAAAATTTACAGATTTTCTTTTCTTTTCCTTCCAGCTTGTTTGATGTGCTACGCAATGAAGCTCGTGTTATGGAAGGTCTGCACAGCTTGGGGATTGAAGGACTTTCCTTGCACAATGTTCTGAAATTGAACATCCAGCCATCAGATTCAGACTATGCAGTGGACATCAGAAGCCCTGCTATTTCGGTGTGTAGGGTTTCATATAAGGAATAACTTATGTGCCCTTCAGCTGTGTATTCTTAAGCTCTTAGGAGAATTTTCTGTTTAATTTTTTTCATGCTATGCTCTATATAGTTTTTGATTTTAAAAATATTGTACAATCTCAGACTTGAGCAGAATGACAGTCATTAAAATGCAGGTATTTTCTCTTAGTGGATCAACAATCTGGAAGTTGACAGCAGGTATAATTCCTGGCCTTCCAGTGTGCAGGAACTGCTGCGTCCCACATTCCCAGGGGTGATCAGACAGATCAGAAAGAACTTCCATAACTTGGTAAGTAGCAATTTAATTTAATTCTGACTAGGAATTAAATGTGTTGGTGTGTGTTGTTGTTCTGTTACTTGTATGTATGTTTATAAACATCAGGGCCATTAGCTTTGGCACACTTACAAGTGTGCTAGATTCCTTGCCATTTAAATACCTTGGGATAGTATGCTCCTCTCAAGGATTTTGTTTTTCTTGTACTAGTGAGCTATAACTGAGGTTCAGAGATTACTGAGCATGATTCTCTGATATGTTAGATTGGTCTTGTGTGTGCTGCTTGCACATCTATGGATTGCTCCACTGGTGGAACAAACTTATCATTTGACAGGTGAGAATTTGTGTGCATTTCAGCTTGGTGATAATAGCTGAAGTTGGTTAATGCAATCCCTCGCATTTCTTACTTAATATTTTTTTTTAACAGGGTCAAGAGCAGCTTCAGTTGTCTTAGTTAGAAAGTGTTCTTGCACCAGAAGTTCAAAAGATGATCATAGGTCCTTGCATTACTCATGGATGCCCCTTCAGTGTGGGGCTTACCCAGTCTTTAGCTACAGCTTATTGTCAGATCCAGCACAGAGTTTGTGAAATCTGTATGGTAACACTTCAGCAGCTCAGATGAGGTACTTTTGGTTATGATCTTGGACTTCAAGATTGTAGTAGAAACTATGATTTAGTGGCTCTCATCTCTCTGGCAATGCATAAAATGGGATTGATGATAATTCTCCAATGAAAAATGAATTAAAAAGCCTGGTATCTTGCCTTCTTGTGGACAGGTGCTGATAGTAGATCCTACTCATGAGACCACAGCAGAATTATTGAATGTGGCAGAGATGTTCTTCAGTAACCACATCCCACTGAGGTAATTATTGTATTTTTATTAGAATTTATTTTACATCAGCTCTGTTTTTGTGACTTTTGCAATTATAAGTACTTGCTGTTAGGACACTGCACCAACATCAGGTAACTTGTATTGGTGGCTGGGAAGGGCGTTTACTGAACCTCATTCCTTCAAAAATTTTTGAATGTAACTTTTGCTACTAGCAAAGCAGAGCTGAATAAAAGTTACTCCAACAGTCCAGAAGAATCCTAAAAGAAAATATTATGGGTGGAAGAAATGAAAAGCAAGATTCTGATGAACCCACCTTTAGAGACTGTATATTGTAAGACCACTCTGCTCAGAATCATTTCATTTGGTCTGCTTAGGAAAAGGCCTTTGCCTATGATGATTGTATTCCACCACTGTATGAAGAGCTGATAATTTGTTAGTGTGATAGCTTCATGATATGGGGGTTTGTCTGATTGCAGGATAGGACTAGTCTTTGTGGTTAATGACTGTGATGATGTTGATGGACTTCAGGATCCTGGCGTTGCCCTTCTTAGGGTGTACAATTATGTGGCACAAGAAATGGACAATAATTATGCTTTCCAGACAGTCATGTCTGTAAGTATTCATTTAAAATGGAAATGAATATTTTTTTATGTGCTTTTATGTATGTAAGATTCATGAGTAGTTTTCCAACCTCTTTCCTCATTCTGCCAATGAGTTCTAAATGGGTGTATCTCCTCAATATATATATTTTTTTCCCTTGAATAGTTCCTGCTGCGTAGTTTTGCCATATAAACAAACATTTCAGGTATTAGTTAATCCATTTGCACTTATGGTTTGACACTGTTATGTAAACCTACAAGCTGGGTCATGCAGGTAACTTGAAGATTATGACTCTTATTCTCATTATTATTTTTTTAAAATATATCATTTTAAGTCAAAGAAGCAAAATCTTTTGCCTACAGGAAGGAGATGATCAGTTATCCATCTTACATGTGAGATTTACTCTATTGTTTATGAGATGTCTTGAGTTCTAAGCTTTTTTTTCTCTAAGAACTGTTTTCCTTCTCAAATACATTCATAATCAGAGGTGCAAGATGTTTAAAGAAATCCATATGTATCTACTTTCAATCTTACTGTGATGACTGTTAGGCAAAGCAAGATGATTTTGAGAGCTATGAGTGCTTTATAATTTGTAGCTTCATACTTAGGAGTTTTTATTTCAGTGAATAACTATGAAAATATATTTTGCAATATTGCTCTTAAAGCTTTATATAAATGTATTTCTTATATAATTACTGGAATACAGGTGACAGGTCAGTTTACCTTCCTAAAAGTGTTTTTCATTTGGTCTGCAAACTTGTATTTGTATTCCCCTTCCAGATATATAACAAAGTAAAAACAGGAGATCAGCTGAAGGTGGAGCACGTGGTTAGTGTTCTTGAGAAACAGTATCCTTATGTGGAAGTGAACAGTGTTCTGGGAATTGATTCTGCCTATGATCAAAACAGAAAGGTAAGAATTCATGAATTAAAGCATTTGTCACTTTTCTGCTTCAGTTGGAATATATGATTACATACAGTTTCTTGATGCAACTTTCTTGCTAAGGACATATTATCATGTTAGAGTGACTTTTCACGATGCTGTGGGAATTTATGTTCAGCACAAAGCTTTATATTACTAGTATGCATCACATGTTGCAATCTAATATTGCTGAAATCTTCTGTATAGTACAGGAACAAAGATAACTTTCCTGAGACTCATGGATACTCTTCTCACTCTGGTGTGGAGAACTTGGTAGTTTAAAACTGCTTTCAAAAATGGAGGTGATGGAATGATTCATAAGAAAACCAAAGAGCTTAGTGCTTAGGAAGGATTGTTGTGGAGTTTCTTTCCTATTATCAGTGTCTGAATGCTGTATGAGATGATGCTATGAGCCTGAATTCATGATGGCTTTCCTGTATCAAGGCATTCAACAATCTTCCTCAAAGAATTTCTTAGTTATTTATATCATCTTAGGTTGATTCTTTCCTGTATGGAGAAACCTGAGAGCAAATCAGTATTTGGTTACTTTTATGTGAGATGAGGCAGATCCTATTTGGGATTGTATCGAAAGGAATGAATATTTGTTTTTCTTGAATGTTCTAGAAGAATGAATGAAAATACCATCTCCAATAACTCTAGCACTTGCAAAACAGCCTATGTCTTAGAAACTAAGGAAGGCAGACAGAGTTATATAAATAAAATTGTATGCACACATGCATTCCATATTTGTGTGTAGGAGAGTGGAAGGAAGGGCACTCCCTAAGAGCTGGAAGCCACTAGAGGCAGACAATTTTTGAATGATAGAAGTCTTCTCATTTAATGTGCTGGACACCACACTGAGCCAAAAGAAAACAAAAGCAGCAACCTAACACAAATGCATTTCTGTGTGATAAAGCAGCTTCTTTTGCTTGGAACCTGAAAGACAAGGGCATCTTGGGTGTGTAGGATGCAGGAAGTGTTTTGTGTGCTTCTGAAAGGACATCTTAATGTGTTTTAAATGGATGGTTTTTTGATATTATATAGAAATATTCTGAATCCTTGTGGTGTTGGGCTGACACAGTAAAGCCACCTCTTTCCCTGGATTTAGGCAGCAAAAAGTTACTACGAGCAGACGGGTGTAGGCCCTCTCCCTGTGGTGCTGTTCAATGGGATGCCTTTTCAAAAGGACCAGCTGGATCCTGATGATCTGGAAATGGTGACAATGCACAAAATCCTGGAAACCACAAGCATCTTCCAGCGAGCTGTGTACCTGGTAGGTGCTGAGTGCAGCTGGGGCTTTAGAGAGAAAGGAGTATTTTAAAAACTCACTCAAAAGTCCCCCAGATATGTGATACAACTTAACTTGTGTATTTTCTTATATTTTTTTAAGTTGTCTAGGGCACATGTGTGATATAATAAATAATACCTTACTTTTTTTCTCCTCTCCTTCAGGGTGAACTATCTAATGACCAAGATGTGGTTGAGTATATCATGAACCAGCCTAATGTTGTTCCAAGAATTAACTCAAGGATCTTAATGGCAGACAGAGAGTACCTAGATCTGACAGCGATGAGTAAGGGACGCTTTTCATTGCATTAAACCTGAAGTATCTGATTCTAAAACTTGCTGTCCCAGTGGAAAGCTTTAGTGGCAAAGCATTACCCCAAGTTACACTGTAGCCCTAGTGCTGGCTGATCTATTACTTACAGCATGAATAGGTACAGATTTATCACAGCAGGAATTTGTTTTGTTTTTATACAAATCCTCAAGGGAATATGACTTGTGAAATTGAGAGTAAAAGTAAGGAACAGCACGTTCATGTAATATGTATAAAGCATCAGTTTGTTTCTTATTTCTAGCCTCTTTTCAAGATGAGAATGACAGGCATCTCTGGAATTACTTGGGATTTGCTGTGACATGTATTTTAGCAGAACTTCTCAAGACTGCAGAATAATGGCAGGACTGCAAACACGCTTTCTTGAGTTGCTTGAAAAATAGTAACTCAGTGGGCTTTTGAATGTATGTTTATATAAATTATTTCAATCAGAAATCAAATCTATATCAATCAGAAATCAAATCTAAAAAGCAGTATCATGAGGAAAAAATGGTGGGAAGTATAATGTTTTGGTAATAAGGATGAATTTTCATTCATTTTACATGGAAATTGTTTGCTTTGACATCTAAATACTTTTTCTCTTCCTCAGATAACTTTTATGTGGATGACTTTGCTAGATTCAGCACGTTGGATTCCAAAGATAAGACAGCTGCTGTGGCAAACAGCATGACCTACTTAACAAAGAGAGGTAACATCTACCATGGATTATGAACTGCACTTCACTCTTGTGTGTTTCCAAGCATACATACAGTACACAACACATGCCTGGAGTCTTGTTCAGGCCTGTGGGCAATGCTGCAACCCAGGTGTTTAAAAACTAACATTTTTATAGGGTTTGACTTCTACATGGAGCAAAAATGTTTTGCTCTGCAAACCTTGCTTTCTGTTAAGGATGGGAGTCCCACCCCACCTGCTCTTGCTGAGGTGGATGATGCCATCAGAAATGCAGCAATATAAGCTCTGATGCTGCAATTACACTGATCAGAACCCCTCTATATTTTTCTAGCCTTCTATCCTAATTTGAAATTTTGAAAGGTTGTATGGGTTCATTAAAAAATGTTGTTGCTCCTTATATAAGACAGCTGATAACCTGGTCTGTGCTGTTCATATCTCTCTAGTGCATGCACTGCTTTTCCAATGATAGTATGGCTTAATTGCAGTGTGCATAAAGTCTCCTGTTAGTGTTAAAACTCAGCTGTACTGCTCATTGTAAGAATTGCATACACAGACTTAATCAGGCCTTTCCTATACTCACCTCTGTTAGGAATCATAGATGAACTGCTGTCATTTGAACCAGTTCCTCTTGTTCCTGTTTGTTGCCTTTACTGGGCTCTCACACATTTCCCAAATATTGCCTGCTGCCACTCCTTCTCTCTTGTATTTGCCTTTGGTTTGTGTTAATCTTGGCAAGAGTTTCTCACTTTCCCTTTGTAGATTATTAATTAAATCTACACCTCATTTAAAAGTGTATTTGTAGTCCTGCAGCGTAACAGGGTCACTGCCCCTTTTGTCACTTAAGATACTTAATAACTGGTATCTGCTCATAGTGATGTGTCACATTTGTGCAGGTACTGATGGCTCAGCATAGTGCTGTCTTGCTGGTTTTTGAAGGGGGAAGATAAACTTAACAGTTGAGTCATAATGGCATGGCACTTCTTGCAAATGGTCTTGAGAATGTTATCTTCATGCTATTGGTAATATGTGTTCTAACTACTGTTAAAATATAAAAATAAAGCATCCATCTATTTGATAGAGGGGGAAAAAAGGTCAAAACTTATTCTGACAGAATTAATACAAATGTGCTGGTTGCTGAAACCGAGCTTCAGTGTTTCAGTTATGCCCACCACAGTCCTGCAGCTTCTTGGTACATATTAGAATCACTATCAAGTTATTAATGTCTCTTCCCTTTTCCTCTTTCCTTTCTGCTGTTTGACCAGGAATGTCTTCCAAGGAGATCTATGGTAAATCGTGCTTTGGCTTTCCATTTGTTGTTGTTCTGGGAATTTCCTGGTTCCCAAAGTTTACAATTCCTTTGTAACTTTGGCCTTAGAACCAGCAAGTTCTAAATGCATGTTTGCTTTGTCACTCCTTATCTTTCTACACAACTGGTTTTGTGAACTAACAGCTTCAGTATGTAGAAGCAGTATGCTGTACTCTGGTTGGAATCAGTAAGTTATTTATGGGTTCTTTTAAAAAAAATTCTAAATTAGGTGTAAAAAAAAAATAAATAATCCAATTTAGAAACACAAGTGCATGCTGTCTCATGGGTTTACTGAATGAGGTAAATAAACTCTAATATTACATCAATATTACTATTCTTCTCTTGCCAGGCTTGGCATAGCTTTATCTGGATCTTTCATATATTAATCTGCTTTGTTTCAAGTCTTTGCATGTTGACCTTGTTTTTCCTCCAAATGAAGAAAAACTGAAGCTTTCCTCTCAAATTTCACCTTCAACTATTCCTCCCCCCCTTTTGTTCTTCTACAGATGATTCTTTTGTTAGACCAGTGACTTTTTGGATTGTTGGTGATTTTGATAAACCTTCAGGGAGGCAGTTGTTGTATGATGCCATTAAACATCAGGTAGGTGGTATTTTTCACTTACACCACTTAGCAGCAATAATAAAGCAGTAGACAGAGGCTTGAAAAACACAAGTTGTGCTGCTTCCTGTTGTGTGACCCTGGGGAGTTCAGTTCTCCATTTTCCAGCTTCATCTTATTTATAGGAGCTAGCACATCCTTGATCTTCTTTTCTTGGTCTTACTCTAATACAGTAAAGAAAACACGTTCTCTTAAGCTCCTGGTTCTAAATTGAAAATCTCTCTGTTTTTATTTGGAGATTAACGTGAGCACTGTTCTCTGCTCTGTCCCATTTGTTCCAGGAAGGTAACTGAATCACACAAATCCATAGCTTACTGCTAGATCTCTTTTTTGCCAGCTCTCTGAGTGCTGGCTGTGCTCCAATCTCTCTTACGCAGGACAGTATTATGTAGAAGATTCTTGGCACAGTGGTGCCTGTAGGTAGACTTCAAGTTAAACAATGGAGTTCATTGTATTATAGATTTTTTTTTTCTTCTCATTTAAAGCAAAACCTGAAACTTTCCTAATTCATATTTGGTTAAATACAGAAATCCAGCAATAACGTTCGAATTAGCATGATTAATAATCCTAGTGAGGAGCCAAACAGCAGCAACACCGTTGTCGCTAAGGCCATATGGGCAGCTCTGCAGACACAAACATCAAATAATGCCAAGAATTTCATCACCAAAATGGCAAAAGAAGAAATTGCAAAGGCACTGGAGGCAGGAGCTGACATCTTAGAATTTGCAGTTGGGGTAAGCATGGCTGTTTTATGTTTACAAAGGTAGGGTATTTGTTCTTACCATGAATTTCTTAGTGTAGCATGTTTGTACTACAAAAGATAAAGTAACAATGGAGCGTTGTCTGAAGGTGTGACTCACCTGAAATATAACTGTCCATCTGAAAGTGAAGTAAATCCTCATACACATCAAAGCTACACAACATTAAAAAGTCAAAGGGATGCAGTTTAAGGGATCTCTTTGAGTGGGTCAGTTATTGGGATTTCGGGGAGAACTTCAATCTCATGATTTCTTTAAACAGGAGAGGGAAAATACATTTCTCAAACTAGATTTAAGAGGTTGGGCAAGAATCACTTCAGAACGAATGAATGGAACAAGTGGTTTGAATAGCAACAATGAGTAGGGCTGGGGCCCTTCACTGACAGGCAAGAACTGGGTTTAAGGCCACCAGGACAAGTGGGGGGGTAAATTTTAGCTGGGTTTTAAGATGTTCTTACGTGGAAGCAAACAAACAAAAAAGATGTATTTTAAAACATGTTCAGAGGTGTGGGGTTTTTTTGTTTTTTTTACAAACAGTGACAGGTATTTTTTTCTTTCAGGGTATGGATACCAATATTTTTAAGGAAGCCTTTGAATCTCCCAAAGTGGATTTCATTCTGTCCCATGCTATATATTGCAGAGATGTACTCAAGCTGAAGAAGGGACAGAGGGCTGTGATCAGCAACGGAAGGGTGAGATCAGATGGTGAAAGAGATTCCACTCGTGGGAAAGATGCAGGCCTTGAGCAGCAGGGATCAGATGTGTGTTCAGACCTAGGGATGGGATATGAGGAGCTGGCCTCCTTCAGGTCACTGGCTTGCTTCCCAGTTATTTGTTCAGATGTGCAGTGACCTTTCCTTGGTACTGTGAGCCATTAATTGTTGGTGTTGCATACAAATTGAAATCAATTGGTAACAGTTGAGCTCCTGCTGTCACTGAATTGAGTCCAGGAGCCAGAAAGGATGATAAATTTAATTGTGCTGCTTCAGTTCATTGGGCATTGAACTGAATATTGGTGCATTAATTTCTTCCACTGGTTCTTTTCACAAGAGCCACTTAGATTTAGGCAAATTATTTAACAGCAGTATTTCACTGCAGGTAATCAGTTTTGTTTTTTTCTATCACATGCTTGCTCACTAGGGGCAGGGAGGAGAAGGCAGGTTCCATGGCTGCTGTATACTTTAATGGGTTTAAAAATTCAAGTGATGAGTTGTGGCTTTCTTTTTCTCTCAGTATCCAAGTAGCAAGGGTTGCCTAGGTAGAACATTAGGCTTTTGAAGGCTCCTACTACTGCCATTGGCCTGGCATTCTGTTAACCTTTCAAGACATATTGCACATATAATTTAATATGCCATATTTATGCAAATCGAGTATTCATTGAAAATTCTAAACATGTTTTATGGCTTTATCTGGGGTGTTTTGTTCATGACTGTAAATAGAATTATCTGTTAAACTTTGCTGCTTTTGACAGTAATATTCACCTGAACAGCTGACGCCCATAAAGATTGAGTTGTAGCATTTATTTAATACATCTTTGAATCTTTTTCACTGCAGCTCTTACCTAATAATGCTAAACTCACTTTTTTTCTCCCTGTATAAAAGATAATTGGCCCGTTAGAGGATGGCGAGATGTTCAATCAGGATGACTTCCACCTCCTTGAGAATATCATCCTAAAGACATCAGGACAGAAAATCAAATCTCAGATTCAGCAGCTGGGATTTGAAGAAGATCTGTAAGTAAACATGAAGAGGCTGGCAAACAGTGGTGCTGTCCTGATAATGTGGCTTTCTGCAGCCTGGAGAAAGCTTGCTTATTGCCTTCAGACTTCTAGTGGGTTTTTCCTGTTGCTAAGTCTTAGCTGACACACTGTTTTAAAATCATCTGCCTCCAATATGCCAGGGTTTCATAATTCCTATGTGAGATTACTGTTACCTACTTAAAAGAAGATAAAGAAGGAAGGAGATGAGACACCAGGATGTGCTTTCTGAAAATATCTGCAGTTCAGCTAACTGCTGCTGGCCTATCAATATCAAACATAACCTATTTCACTGCCAGTGGTACAGAAACGTGTAAACTGCTTTTAACTTCTTAAAGAGGAATAACCAAAGAAGAGGAAGAGATGTGATGATGAAAATTGCAGTTGTTGATAATTCTTGCAATAGAGGAGCTATTCAAAAGAAAGATGTCTTCAGAATCAAGGATGCCAGTGTCTCTGGATCCAAAGTCTGTGGATATGGGGTGCTGGAAGGGAGCTGGGGGATGGAGGTTATCACTAAGAAGATAATTTCCATCCTATTTAGGATTACATCTTTCTGTGATGGTGCTTGGCTGTGAAAGTCCTTTGATACAGTATTGCTTCTCAGTAAAGCTATTGTGTATGTACCAATATTCATTGAAGTTTCAAGAGCTTTTACATTTTAAGATTAAATATGGTATTCTCATAACACTAAACTGAAAAATTATGGGAATAATAATGAGGAAGAAGTTGTCTGAGGTAATTATGGCTTAATGATAGGACCCCCTTCTCTTGGAAGTTTCTCTATTGCTTCCTAGAGCTTAACAGCCATGGTTTAAAAAGGCTGCTGTGAAAGAAGGGTTTGATCTGAATCTCTTATAGGCATGAGAGAGGTTAGTGAGGCTGAGGGATGCAGTGCAGAGAGCAGTTTTGGTGTCAGCCAAACCCTTTGGTACTCTCAGTGATAAGGCTGCAAGCCATTTACATTCTTGGTGCTAGATTAATCCTTAAACTTGTTTAAATCTTCAGAATTACTTCAGAGAATCCTTAGAGTAAGGTGAGGACAGTAAGGACACTGTGTCCTGGGCAAAATTTTCTGGTTTTGGAAGCACCAATTATATATTTCCATGCTTCTGTTTCTCAAGGCAATATATTGTAAATATGGAAAATGCTTGTGTGGAGAGGTAGTAGAACTGTTAGCTTGTATCTCAATTCAGTTCAGCCTTTTCAGCCTTCTCTTTTGCTGCTAGTTGACAGAAACATGACATGCATGCATTTTTCTGAATACCTGTAAACCTCTTTTTTTATTTTTTTTCCTTCAGTGCTAGTGACTTGGTAATGAAAGTGGATGCTCTTCTTTCTGCTCAACCAAAAGGAGAGGCAAGAATTGAATATCAGTTTTTTGAAGAACGATACAGGTACAGGATTGCTGCTGCTTGCTGAGCAATATGCTCTTCCTTGTTTTTTAAATTGCTGTGTGTTTAAATCACACTTAACATTAAAAAAATAATACAAGCAGCAATAGGAAGTCCCTAACACTTTTCAGAATGGGGTCAGTTTTCATGATGAATATGTTTGTCTACTTATCTGTATGCATGTGTATGTATGTTTGTATTTGTCCCTATCTGTTCAATTTTGAAATGTGCACAGCATTTAGGAAGTACTTTGACTTTGGAGGAGATGGGTGGTGTTTTTCCTTTGTTTATTCAATTTATTTGATAGTTTAAAATTCTTTTTTCTTCTGTTTAGTGCAATTAAACTAAGACCAAAAGAGGGAGAGACATATTTTGATGTTGTGGCCATTGTTGATCCTGTTACCAGAGATGCTCAAAGACTTGCTCCATTACTTTTGGTATGTATACAGCGTTGTCATGTGTTTCATAACAATTTTTAACAGTTTTTCTTTTCCAATTCTGTAATTTTGAAAAGTTTGTCTTCTTCCTTGACTCTGTAGTGACCAGTGGCCTTCTAATGATGCAGCTGAAATACACATTTCTGCAAAATCACACTAACAAAATCATGCATCTAGCTTTTAATTTTACCACTTTGACAGCTTAGTTTGCAATCATTATTCTTGAGGAAGAAAGTCTCTGCATCCCAGAAAGAATGCCTGCAAATGAGGGAGCATGTGGCTGATCTAATTGCAAGCAGATGAGTGTGGTAAAGGGAGGCCTGAGAATGTGCAGGTTGCATGTCTCCTTTCCTAGTTAGAGTTTTAAGGAATGTCTCTTGTTACTGTAGGTTTTGAACCAACTGATAAACATGAACCTAAGGGTGTTTATGAACTGCCAGTCAAAACTTTCTGACATGCCTCTAAAAAGGTAAGCAATGCCATTACAGGGTTAAAACACAGCAACAACCTACCTGATACCTGAAAAAGAGCAGTATAGAAGCAGAAGCATTTGCTTATTGTAGTGAGGCTGGCAATGGGGGTCTTGAAGCCTTGTCACAAGTTGGAATGTAGCCTGGTGGAGAAAACCACCCTTACACCAGGTTCTACAGCTCTGCTGGGCTGCATCTCTCAAGCCCTTAATTCCCATTCTCCCACTTCTCCATCCCTCCAAAAAATTCCATCCACACCAAAACTCAACCAACCATCTAAAAAGATACCTCTTATGAACAATAACAACAGCTACAGCAACAGCAACAAAACACAGTCAACTCAGAGAGAAAATTTAAACCCCTTCAAATATTAGAAGGTCTCAATAACTGCTTCCTGCTTAAGTACAATAACATGAGTTCTCACAGAGAATCCATGAATTTGTGGGTGGTGTGAGATAGTGGTGCTGGTTTAGAAGTTAGGTGGGGTTTTATGTATATGAGCAGGGCTATATCACTTACTGATTTTTATGGCTGATCCATGCTCACTCTGCTTTGTCCTCCAAGGTGAAAATTCTGCTTGTTCTAAGCATGTTGCTTTGAGTAAAGCCTCCTGTACACAGTAGGGAATAAGAATTCCATACAGTGATTCTTGGAGGTGTTGGAGCTCTGGGAAAACTGATGCTGTCAGCAAGTTCAAAGCAGAAGAATTAGACAAATTTGGCAGAATTACATTGAAATCTTTTCTTTCTGGAATTTCAGCTTTTATCGCTACGTTTTGGAGCCGGAAATTTCTTTCACAGCAGATAACAGCTTTGCTTCTGGACCAATTGCCAAGTTTTTGGATATGCCTCAGTCTCCACTATTCACTTTGAACCTAAATACTCCTGAGAGCTGGATGGTGGAATCTGTCAGGACCCCATATGACCTTGATAATATTTACTTAGAGGAGGTAAATGAAATCAGTACGTTACTGTTGTTGCATTTAAATGTTGTTGGGTTTTCCAGGGGTTATTTTTCTAATTGGGAAGAAATTTAGAATTTCAAACACATGTCACGGTTGCAGACCGCTAGAAACTCTGTAGGAGGGCTGCAGATAAACCAAAGCTTGCTGACAAATTGCTGCCCTCAGTTACTCATGGATGCCTGGGGGGTGCCAGAGGGTGAGCAATGCTGTGGGCTCAAAGCAGATCCTGCAGAAGTGCTGCTTTGAGTGTTGTATATCCATTCCAAGTGTGTGTGTGTATTTATATACATATATATGTTATTTCAGAATGTCCTGAGCTAAAAACAAACTCTGAACATTAAAATATATTGATTTTTATTTATGAATTTAAAGAAGTATTTCCTATTAGAGCTCCCTACAGTTAATATCGTAATGGAAGATAAGATCTGCATCTCATTTCTAGTAAGCTAATCCCACTTACTTTTCTTGTGACCGAGCAGGCCTTAGCTACCTCTTCATTTCATGGCTTTTGTTAGCAGAAAATGCTTGCTCCACAAAAGGATTTGTGGTATCAACAGAACAGTAGAAGTGGTGCAGCAGATACGTGCTCTGCAGTACTTTTAAGAGCTGACTGCTGCTAAAACAGGCCATGAGTTGGACCTTTAGAATCTTAATCCGGGCTTTTGCCCCACGTACAGAAAGATAAAATTCTGAGAAAAACCAAGGAGCTGGAGATTAGTACAGAAATCATTTTAAAAACAAAGGAGGAGTATTTGTACATCGATGTACAATGAAGATGCTCATTTCATCTTCAGTAGGATAAATGAGTTAGTGCTAATTATTAACTTCTTGCTGTTAACAGTCTGGTCTCTACTAGTTGTTTGTAGCTCTACAGGTAGTGGGCTGCAAAGTGGTTGCAGATGCATTACACTGGCATGTAATGATGTGCACTGAAAACACATAGCTGAAAGTTAGAAGTCCACATGTGATGAGAAGTAGAAAATGCTGGGCTTCAGAGTGTGAAGTGAATTACTTAAGGAGATGACCAAATACTCTTCCTTTGTCGTAAGCCATTATTTAGCTGGCCTCTGGATAGCACCCACCTCTGTTTAAATGAGTTGAAAGCCTGAGAGAGGGGCAGTAGGTGCTGCAGGCATGCTCAGAGCACCATCCTGAGTACCAACCTATTGATTAAATCCACAATAAATGTGAAAAGAACTGTAAAATAGAGCAACAGTCCTTCCCTTTCTTACACTGACATCCAACCAGTTGGGAGCCAGAGGTTTTTGGTCAGGAGCAGCCTTAACAATGCATGCTCAATGGAGCCATGATCTTTGAGGTTTTCTGGGTATTCATTCAATTGAACTTCTCTGGTGAAGTAAAGTGAGTGCTAGTTAATTACTATGACTATATCTGCTATATCTTGTAGAGTTACTGGATCACTAAAATAAATTGCACTTCTGTGCTACTGCTGAGTTCAGCAATATCTTCTCCTTACAGGTGGATAACGTTGTTGCTGCTGAATATGAGTTGGAGTATCTGCTTCTGGAAGGACACTGCTATGATATCACCACTGGGCAGCCACCTCGGGGCCTCCAGTTTACCCTGGGAACCTCAACCAATCCTGTCATCGTGGATACCATTGTTATGGCCAACTTGGTAAGCAAATGATTCCATTTGGCAGTGCAGAACTGTGGTTCTGCAGTCAGCACAACCACCTGCACAAAGCATTAAGTATCTCCAAGCACGTGGGCTGTGGCTACATTACATTACTGACATCCCACAGTTGCTGGCAGATGTATCAGAACCACGTTGTTCCTCAGTTGGTCAGTGTTGTAGAAAACAAAGGAAGCATGAAAGAACAGGAAATTCTTAATGTAGTTGGGGAAAAGAGTCAGCAGTCTGAGTATGTGATTGTTCCCTGCAGCTGTCTTTAATCCACACTGGACTGTGAGAGGTCTGGACTGAAATTATGGCAAGGGAAGTTAGCCATTGGGATATCTTCTTTATAGATAATGTTAGTGAAAAACTGAAATAGACTGTCTATTTTTTAAATCTTTAAATGCATTATACAACATATAGTAAGGAAAAAATACATGCTTTCTCCATTTATTTTAAAATTCTTTCAGTTAGTTTTGTATTTCTTCTTGCCTTTTCATAGCCAAATTGTATTCTATAGTGATGTGATATTGATAACTATAAAAGGGAAGGTGAGCCTTGTTTTTTGTATGAACACATTCCATGTGCTTGATGACTTGAAGGTGGGTTTTTTCTCATTAGATAAGCTGAAGTGTGTGTATCATGGTGTACAGTGCTGTGTCTACTAATCCTCTTCCTCACAGTCTGTACTGTGAAGGTGTATGAAGGGACCTGAGAGGCCAGGAACATGCCTTGTGTTTTTCTATGAGCTCCCTTTAAGTTTTGGAAGGCTGCATTGCAGTCTCCCTGGAGCCCTCTGTTCTCTGGACTGAATAAGCCCAACTCCCTCAGCCTTTATTCCAAGCAGAGATGTTCCTCTTATGGAATCTAGCATTGTAAACTCCTACTGGAGTATTACACTGTAATTTGTTAGGGTTTTCAGGAGAGAGATTTTGTGACGTAGAACTTGTGTTACTGCTTCCTGCTGTAGCTGAAATCTCTCTCTCTAGCTTCACCATGGATAACCTCATGCTTTGTGGCAGACCTTTCACAGGCTGCAGGTATTTACCAGCCAGTGCTTAGAAATGCACCCACTCCTTCACAAAGGCAAGCTTTTGCAGAAGCAAATTTGGGATTGCACTGTTCCTATCAAGGTGTTTTGAAGACTTTGTCATCTAATGATAGATGTTTTAATGCTTGGTTCTTATGAAAAAAGATGGAAACTTTTGGGTTATGTAGTGTTTGTTTTTCCCAGTTCAGAGGGTTTCAGGTCCTTGTGGTTCTATTAATCAGCTGGGTTACAAGTAACTATTTCCAAACACAAATCAGTGGGACAAAATACATGACTTACAAACATGTTTGTGTTTTCTGGAAATGGACAGATATTCTTTTCTCTTTACAGGGTTACTTCCAGTTAAAGGCCAATCCTGGTGCGTGGACTCTAAGGCTCAGGAAGGGCAGATCTGAAGATATCTACAGGATCTACAGGTGGGACAGTACAAGAAATACTTTGTTCTCTTTCTTGGGAAATCTTCTAAATCATACTGGCACCATTACATGTGAATCTAACAGTTCACTTGTCCACATGCAGCGAATTGGTTGGCAGATTGCATTTTGTACTGTGTGAGAGGAAAGAAATTCATTCCTTTACCAAATCCAGTCTGTGTTTAAGTATGTATTGGAACATGTCTGTATTTCCTACTTCTTTGTCACAGCTCAAACCTGTCCTACAATGCTCAGCTTTAATAGTGTGTAGAAAAACATATAGAAGACACAAAGAACTTATTTCTTCTTAGTAGTAAAGTGTTTTAATGTATTTTCAGCCACGATGGCACAGACTCTCCACCTGAAGCTGATGAAGTTATTGTCGTTCTCAACAACTTCAAAAGCAAAATTATTAAAGTGAAGGTGAGTTTAAAAACATAGAGCTGTTCTTCAAAACAGATTGCTTGAGCTGTACTGGGGGAAGGAACTGATTGAGGGCATGATGATGCCTTCCTGCAAGCTTAATTAGAGTTGGTTGGCAAAGTTCACATTACAGCATCTGTAATGGAGGGAGTTATCTATAGACTTGGGTTTGTTTCTTTTGACACAGGAGAGAATGGTGCAGCTGCTGTGCTCTTTGTATGCACATGAGAAACAGTTATGCTCGCATTTTACTGGCTCAGGTGTGCTTGTGACATAACAAAACTGACAGGTTTTTTTTCTTAGTCCTAATGGTAAACACTCAGAGTATCCACTGAGCCAGTATTTTTTCTGTTGCAGATAAAATTCACTCACCTGGTAATACATTTTCTGTCAATCTGATGTAAGAGTTGCAAATACATTTATTTATTTATTTATAAACAAAGGAAAACTATAAATTTACTCTTCTGTCAGGGTTGCTTTTCATATAGCTGGAACATTTAATGAGGATGACAGATAAATGATGGTTGTGCCACTTCTGGCTCATACCAACTGATAGGATTTACTTGTGTTAGAGTAATTCTGGGATGTTTTCCTGTTGGTTTGTTTTTTCCTGCCTTCCTTGCTTATCTGCTGTGGAGTCTCAGTGTCCAGTAACACCTCTTAGAAACACACAAAGCAGTATTGAGGTGTTTTGTTTTTTTTTTTTTTTACTGTGCTGCTGCTTTGAGCTGCTGCTTTGCCAGTTTCCTTCATCAGGGATGATCCCTAAATACCTCTGAGCAAAGTGTTTTTAACCATTCAGACATCAGACCCTCGGTGTCTGATGTCAGTTCCCTGCTGAGCTGCTTCTCCATACAGCTTATGTTACACAGCAGCTAATTGGACACAATTCAAACTGAGCCTAAAAGTGCTCCAGAGCTGTTTGCCCAGTATCTAATTCTACTCTCTCAAGCAGTGTTATGCTTTCACAGGTTCAGAAAAAACTAGACATGATGAATGAAGATCTACTGAGTGATGGCACCAATGAGAACGAATCTGGATTTTGGGAATCTCTCAAATGGTAAAAATGAATTCAATAATCACCTGCAAGTCTGTTGAACTGGAAAGCTGTTTGTTCTCCTGATGGTACAGATGGGTCTGTGATAGTCCATAGCCATCTAGTAGAGTAGCTTGAACTTAGGGCTTGATTCATTGGAACTGTATCTTTCATAAGACCCCTTAGTTTCTAGAGAGATGAATTACCACTTTGTCCTGTTTGTGTTCCCTTACCACATGTGCTACAGGGAAGTCTGAAAGCATTGCTTGTTTCCAGGAGCTGCATCTCAGCCAGGCATCTTCTACTTGTAATCTAGTAGGCTTCCATGTTTGTGTCTGCACTGCTCTGTCTTGTGGACCATGATGCACAGACCAGGGAGAGGGATGCCAAACAGCACTGTAGTAGTTTATAGTCTGTTGCACTCCTTCTAGGCCTTGTTATCTTGTCTTTCATGAATATGTTTGTCCTTTCAGGGGATTCACAGGAGGACAAAAGAATGAAGATGTGAAGCAGGACAAAGATGATGTATTAAATATATTCTCTGTGGCTTCAGGACATTTATACGAAAGATTCCTACGGTCAGTTCAGAAATGATATTCTGGGATTTCAAATGGGGAATGTGTTCTGCTGTTTACAAGTAAAAAGATTAGGGTTTGCAAGAATATTTAAAACCAAACAAAGTCAAAACCCAAACAAAAAACATTCAGTCAAAAAACCCAAACCACAACCACAGCAGCACAGAAGTCCTTGACAACAGGAACTTCTGCCTGCATAGAGCTCAGGTTCAGAATAGCAATACACTATCTAGCAAATTCAGTCTATCCCAAGAATTTCTCACTACAAAAAAAATTGGATATAAATGTTTTGTTAAGAATGTATAAGTTGTAGTTGCTCTGGAAAAGAATCTGAAATTGTGTTGTCAGCAGATTCAGAAAGCCAGAAGGCTTTTTTATTCTTGCTAGAGTTCAGCAATATGCAGTAGGCTGAAGCTGCCCATTTCTGCACCACACTGAGCTCAGTAATCTGACATACCATAGTTGATGTAATAATGTGACGTGGCAATTTGTGATCTGTTTGCAGCTGATCTCTAGCATGTGGTAGTTATTCCTCCAAATGTTTTATCTTTTTCTCTTGATAGCATAATGATGTTGTCTGTGCTGAAACACACCAAGACTCCCTTAAAGTTTTGGTTTCTGAAGAACTACTTGTCACCTATGTTCAAGGTTTGTTACTAATTAGAAATGTATTCTGTAGTGGGAAAAGTAAATGAGAAAAATATTTCAAGTTGTGCATCATAGCATTATGTAACCATATGTACAGTTAGCTGTCTGTATACCTTCTGTTTTCACAAAGTATCAAACTGCCTTTTAAAAGGAAGTCTGGCTGAGAGTGGTCTTGTGCCAAAGAGAAATATTTAAGAGAACAGCATGTGATTGGAAAGTGATGCTTGGGCTTCAACTTTTTTGTGTGATTTGTGTGATAAAGGTGCAGAGTTTAAGATGAAAATCAGGGCTATAGACTTGTGTCTGATGCATGAGGGATGAAAGAGCATAGGAAAATACTTAGCAGGGAATCAAGGGCTGTAGCTAGGTATGGGGAGAGCTCCCTAAGAAGAGATGTTTAAAGCACATGTTCAGATGGATGAGAGTACATATGCAGTGCATGCTAGAGTGCCTCAGGCTCTGCATGAATACACCTGGAAATATTTATCAATTTGTGATTCCTCATGAATCAAATGGCAGAATTCAACACGGAATGCAGAGGTAAATGAATGACAAAACTGTATTTCAAAAATTAGCAAATTCCACCACTTAATACTAGGTAGCAGTGTTAAAGAAACTTACCTGCTTATGAGCTCAAGGGGGGAAATAACTAGCAGTGCTTGTGGTGCTGCAAGAGCTGTGGGCTGTGCTGTGACTGCTCCTGGGAGGTGCAGCAGTGTGGTTCCCCCATCCTTGCAAGCAGCTGTGTTCTGCCAGTATGTCTCAGCAACATCTGTGCTGTCCTGGTGTTGGAGGAAGCCTCACAGATGAGAACATTGCATCCTTTGACAGTGAGCCACGTTGTTCTAATAAAGCATTTCTCCCAGTTCTTTCCTAATGTTTTATTATGGGATGGGAGTCTATCTCTTGTAATGCGCTTTTCTTTTTCCAGTAGAGGAGCAAAGAACTGAGATAAGCTCCTTTTTTCTCCCCTCTCTCTGCAGGAGTTCATCCCATATATGGCTAAGAAGTACAACTTCCAGTACGAGCTTGTCCAGTACAAATGGCCACGCTGGCTTCACCAGCAAACAGAGAAACAGCGAATCATCTGGGGTTACAAGATCCTCTTTCTGGACGTGCTCTTCCCGTTAGCTGTTGATAAAATCTTATTTGTGGATGCTGATCAGGTAACTGAGGGTGAAATTACTTGATCTTTTCCTTTTTTCCCCTCTAGGAATAACATGTTCTAAAATACAATTTCTGTATTACAAAAGTTGCAAGTCTGAGCACTTTGCAGGCATGACTGAATGCTGATTCTGTAACTCTAGCATGCTTCAGCAAGTGCTTGTTTTCCAGCATGTTCCCACAAAGCTTAGTTTTGTTGGCCTCTTACTTTTGGCTGGCTCCTCACTCACTTGCTGCTGCAGTTCCAGCTAGTTTGCCAAACAGATTCCATCTCGTCCTGACACTTGTGCAGTTCCAGCCCTGTTCCCCAAGTCTGCAGGTCACCTACCACACACAGTGTTTTCCTCAGTTCCCAGACACTTTCCTCCTCCCACTCCTGCTGGATTTTAGCTTGGCCAGATCTGAATGGCTTTCAGAGGAGCCAGAAGGCTGTTCCCTCATGCACTGTGCCGTGCTGCAAAGCAAGCAGCGTCAGGGTGGCTTTGTCTGTGCTTACTGCCCAAACACTTTGAACACAGGGGATGCGTGTGCAGTGAGAACTGCCAAAAACACTCCTTTAAATTGTGAATTGTTAATTGTGAAGTACAGATTATTAATACATAAATATAAAATGCCCTAGGCGTTCTGGCATATAGACAGTATGATCCTGTGTCAGTTAAGAACCATTGTAGCTTTAGCATAAGTATCACCTAGGATAAATTCCAAGCTATGCTGCTCTTTGTGTATTGTTGGTTTTTTTTCCTCTGTTTATAAAAGATACATTAATACAGTTTGTTTCAACCAGAACTTTTAGAGTAGTACTACAGTTGCAGCATCTGCGTCAGAGAGACATTAAAGACATTCATCCATGAAGGGTTTTCAGACTTTAAAGAGGAAAGGAAACAAAGGATCATAGCAAAATTCATTTACAGTGAGAATTACAGCTGCTTTCTAAGCAATGACGTGGCACCTCAGCTCCCAGCAAACCTCTATTGGAGTACCTGAAGCTCTAGTTCAGATGGTCCAACTCCAATGGGAGAGGGAACACCTCTGGTGTCTTGTTTTTGTACTACATATGGTAATGCAGATGTCAGAGTAAGAGGTAATTCTCCCTTTAGCTGCTTGGTTCGTATTAAATCCTGACTAGGTTATCAAAATAGCCCATGACAGGCTTTGACAAATGAAATACCCTTTTGCTTCAGATTGTGCGCACAGATCTAAAGGAATTAAGGGATTTCAATCTAGATGGTGCTCCTTATGGATACACTCCGTTCTGTGACAGTAGAAGAGAGATGGATGGCTACAGGTTCTGGAAGTCGGGATACTGGGCAAGTCACTTAGCTGGAAGAAAATACCACATCAGGTACTGAAGAATTATTTATTTTTGTCTCCTCAAAATGGAAGTGGAAAACTTTTGTTACTAATTAGAGTCAGCAGAAAGCTAGCTGAGGTACACAACGCTGCTTTGAACCACTTTTTGCTCCCTATTGCTTTAAGCTTCCATTGCCTCTGGTCCAATTGGAAGCACTAGGGGCACTGAAGTTAATTTCAGTGTGATTCAGCTTTTACAGACAAAGAACTGAAGCGTTAACTGAACAGGCGTCTTCATTTGATAATAACAAATGTTGGAAGAAGTGACTGCATGACAGCAAAGCTAAGATAGATTTGTCAAGTAATTTTATGTGTGTTCCATGTAGTTAGAACTGCTTTCCTGCCTTGTGTTAGATAATTCTTGGTGGCAGTATATCAAATTGTTTTGATGTATTGAGTCTCAGAGTCTGAGGCTTTGGTAATTTACCCATCAGTCAAATGTCACTGCTAATTGTGTTATCTCCACGCAGTGCTCTGTATGTTGTGGATCTGAAGAAGTTCAGAAAGATAGCAGCTGGAGACCGCCTCCGGGGACAATACCAGGGTCTCAGTCAGGATCCTAACAGTCTGTCTAACCTTGATCAGGTGTGTGTTTATTGCATGTATGTACGTATTTACTGTGACCTGATGGCAGCTTAGGACTTCTCCTTTCCCAGCCAAACTTCTGCCACTGCCCAATTCCAGTGGCAGTCCCAGTAACTCCCTACCTTCAAATGAGATGGATAAGCATGCAAGACGAATGCAAATGGTGGGTGGCAACAACACCTTCCTCTAACATGCCTTCAGACTGTCCATTTCTCTGGTATACTCCAAGGCAAATACACAACATGGCTGAATACTTGCTGCTTGAGCCATCTGGCCCCAAGCAATTTGCTGTGTACTGACTTGGATATGAGGAAATAAGGCTTGTACTGTTACATGAGGAAAAGTAACACAATGCTTTTATTCACTCGAGAACAGTCTTCCAAACTGATCCAGTACAGGTGTGACACTGGATTCATGTTACAACTTTAATCCCTTTTACTAACGGCCTCATTTTCAACAAAGTAAGATTAACTTACTTTGTATTATTCAATTATTTTTTTTTTTCCAAAGGACTTTGTTTCGAATGAAAGTTGTTAGATAGCTATTCATTTGTTCTGGGAAAAAAAAGCCTCTATTTTCAGAAGTTATAAAACTTTTGAGTGCTGCCTGGTGGGACAGTTGTTCACCACCTGCCTTGCATGGTGGAAACTGCTACTCAGTCTTATTCTTCACTACAGGATTTGCCCAACAACATGATCCACCAGGTGCCAATCAAATCGCTGCCACAGGAGTGGCTTTGGTGTGAAACATGGTGTGATGACTCCTCAAAGAAGAGAGCAAAAACCATTGATTTGGTAAGTACAGAATGGCTCCTTCATTCTTACGTCTCACCAAGAAGCTGTGACCAACTCAGAGACACTTCCCCACTCCAGATGTAGGTGCCTTACCTTCTGTTGTTTCTTTAATATTTTCAATGCTTCATTTTTTCCCCCTTTTCCTACTACATATTTTTATTACCTAGAGATTATGAGCTTGAAAAGTGAATTTACACTCTACTCTAGCAAAAATACTGGCTTGTAGTAAGTGTTCACCAACAATCCATCAGTTCCACTAGGGGGAAGCATCCCTCTATTCAGTAAGTAAAGCTTATTTATCCATGAAGTGTTGAACAGTTTGTATGCTTTCTTTGCAGTGTAATAACCCAATGACCAAAGAGCCCAAGCTGCAGGCAGCAATGCGTATTGTTCCAGAGTGGCAGGACTATGATCAAGAAATCAAACAGCTCCATAACCTTTTCCAGAAAGAAAAAGAAACAGGAACACCAGCTCAGACGTCAGGACAACACACACAAGGTAATATTTCTGGCTGTTTTCCTATTTTCTGACTTTCCTCCTACCTGTGTGTGAGGGTTTATTCCAGTCCAGACATTTGCTGTAAGCCTGCACCAAACAAGGGCTTGCATGGAGGATGTTTTAAGTAATCTGCATAATTCAGTGGGACAGAAGCACCTTGCTAAGTGAGGCAGGTGTAACTTAACTCGATGCTGAGACCTAGAGAACAGAGAAATGTTTCACCCTTTTTTCAGTTCCATTAAAGATCCTCACTGTTATGCAGTGTCACGAAACCAGGCCTTACCTTAGCCTGTACAAAGTGCTGTTATACACAGTGAGAAGGAATGGTTGGTTCTTCAGTCACTGGTAATCTTGCAAATAACAAGAGTCTGGGATTTAAATGTCAAGTTTCAAACTGATCTGCAGACTGAGGAAGCTGGAAATGGAGTATTTATTCTTCTCTCCTCTTCTACAGATGCAGCAGCACATGTGGAATTATGATCCATGGAGAAGAATTCAAGTTAGACTGTTTCATAGACAATTTTTATATTGAAAGCTAGGTTTTTTTTTTGTTGGTTTTTTTTCCGGTATGTCTGCAAAACTGCTGAATAATTGAATGGGATGATGTATGCATTTTTATTACTTGCCTTTGGGTTAATTTCTGCATATGAAATAAGATCTGGATTGCTGGAATTAGCATTACCGTTCTTTTGCACCTGTGGTGGAGATGAAAGAGCCTGTGATGGAATTCAGCATTTTGGAAACAAAACTTCAATATCCACTGGAAAACTTCAGCTGTTGCTGCCTCCACCACTGATGAAGATCCTGTGTTAAGCCTCAGATCTTACTTGAGAGCCTGGAAAATGCAGCCCGGTGAGCTGTTGGCTAGAATGTAAGTCCTAGCCCCTACTGGTGGAGTTAATTTTTCCAGGTGATTTTAAAAGGCTCCGAATTTTGCTTTCAATTGGGATGTTGTTTCATCAGCAAGTTTTCAGTCAACAGTTCTCCTCGGGTTGATTCAGGATGCCCTTGATTTTTTTTTTTTTATTTTTTTTAATCAAATCCAGCATTATTTCATCTCTGTTTCCTGTCTTCATTTGTCACCCAACTTTTGACAATTTGACTTCATGTAAATCTGCCACAGTCTGTGTAAATGCCCGTCCCAAGTACAAATGCCTACAAAGGGAGCAGAACGTTGGATCTGACTGTTCCATTCCTCGCAGCCCATCTGACTGGAAATAAAAGTGCCCTCCTGCCTTCTTTGCTCAAAGCTCAAGTCCATCTGCAATGCTGGTAGGGCCTCACCATTGCTGTGGTTCACTGATTCATGAATGTGTTTTTGTTTGTAGAAGAATCTTTGGAAGCTTGGAAGCTTTTCATCACGTACATTTCATTAACTTTATTTTTCTTCAAACACAGATGTTGTCACATGAATAATAAACTTTGGAGTTCTTCGATGTTAAGCTTTAGTTCACATTCAGTCTTTTCATCATCCTATTTTCTCACATATTACTCCAAATTTGATTTTGGAACTTTTGAATATTTGAGTTGCATTTGTTTTCCTTTAACCCACTGACAAGAAAACATTTTGCTCCAAGGATGAGTTGCCCTGAGCTGATTGGTTTTGTTGTTTTCTTTTTTTCGTAATTCATATTCATGTGTTAATTTTTAAAGATGCTGCAGCAGTCATATGAACTTAAAAATCCTCAAACCCTCCTTCCCTCATTCTGTAGGATTATTGTCTGCTCCCTGGAACACAGAGACTTGGAAGAGTTGAAATACAGGAACCCAACTGGTATTTCTGTGTTGAAGTGAAAGGTAGCTCTGTATGCACTGCTTCTTTAGAGATCCAGGTTGGGATTGTTTCTGCCTCCTGTTTTTCTTATACAGATTTTCTGTGCTATAAGAAATTCCCCCTAAAGAGAATCCTGACTTAGATATTTGTCTAGAAATATTGTTTTATACATCATGTAAATGTCCTGGGGGATTCTAAAAGACATCAGTTGTAGAATTCAAACTGTTCTCCAGGGCAGTGCCCAAGTCTCTAACCCAGATTCTTAGAGAACGTGGTAAAAAGAAACAGCAACGCTCCCGTAAATTTGCAGTGCTGGCACTGATGCCAAAGTGAGTAAATGAATCAGCAGCACTGTGCCCACACTGCTAGTGGGTGCCAGAATAGGTGACTGCAGAAAGGCAGAGGAAAGGCCAATCTCCCCTCTGCCTAGGGAAAACAGTGCAGATGTGAGGGGCTGGATATCAAGCCCTGAGCTTACTGAGCATGAGTTTTCAGCTTAGGTATTTCCCCTTTTGTGAGGTTTTCAGTTCAAATGGTCTCCCTGATGGTTTGTAGCTTACAAATGCTTTATGCTTGCTGTCAAACTGTTCCAGGTGAGGCTAAGCAGACTTACCCTAGGAGGATTTTTTTCTAGTGTAAAGACCAATGATGTGCCTGCCAACAAATTGAAGTTAGTTATTAGATATTATGTTGGTCTTTTTTAATCAGATAAAGTAACACTGGTAATGTTCACCTTTCTGTGTAACTGCACCTCTGCCCCTTTTGGAGCCCATGGAATGGCACACAATGGAGGGTAACAGCTGTGCTCCACTTTTATCCAGGGCTGCCCTGGGGCAGCAAAGGAGGCGTGCTTAGGGCTGATAGGATGGGGGTGCAGGAAGAGTCTGTCCCATCAGAACAAGAAAACTACAGTTTGCTGTGAAATAAGACCTCCTCCTATCAAAAAACCATATTTGACTTCGCTTTTTTCAAATGTTATTTGAAGCCAGAAGATGGAGAATAAGGTAACTTGCTGAAATTCAATTTACAGTACCTTCTTTGGAGCTGGATAGGAAGGAAGGATTTTTTAAAATTCAGTGTAAGTTACAGAATTATTTTTTTAATTATGCTCCTCCATTGTTAATAGTTAATGTATGCACTTGAACACACACACCACTATTTGTTTTTTTCTTTTTAATTATCAACCAAGCTATGGAGAATGTTGGTTGTTTTTTCCTTCTTTAACACAGACCACGTTCTTCTGTTCAGATCTTATTAAAAAACATATAAACCATTTGGAAGGGAGAGGAACCAGAAGCACACGTATGGTGAGATCTCCTACCTTTTGCAGTACTCCTAAGAGTGCTGTACTTATTCATAAGTACACAATAAAATCCTCCCAGCACCAGGCATTCAGAATGTGAAGTACTGCAGGTGGTTGTGGGAAGCCACTCTTAGCACATGAGAATGACACTGAGGAGGATACTTATGGTTTGGATCTGTGCATGTGCTTGCTGGTAAAAAAGCATCTTATGCTGAGATGATGACTGAGACAGAGCTGCTTCTGACTGTGCCTGTTCCTGGAAATGAGTAAGAAAAATGATGAGAAAAATAGAAAATTGGAATGAATGTGGTTACAGTGTAATTTTGGATCCTCAGTCTAGAAAGGGAACTTCTGTGGCAAGGCAGTGCTGCTGTTCCCAGTCTCTCACTGTCACACGTTTGTCCTTTTGATAAAAAGTTGATGCTTAAAAGAATATGTTATTTTGAAAGGAAGATTATTTTTTTTTTTGGCCTGGGTAGGAAACAGATAATAGCACATAAGTGCTGAAGAATGTTGTAGAGATAGCTCTTCCATAGACTTGTTGTAAAACAAGGAAGTGAAAGGGGGATGTACAAAAGAAAAGAAGTAACAATCCAGTCATGGTTTTGGAAATCAAAATCTGTTCAAGAATGTGCCACAGCTCTGTGGCACTGATACCTAATGAGCCTGGATCCAGGGAGTTACTCATTCCTGCATATTACCTGAGATCACAGCAATTTTCCCAGTATGGTGACAACAATAAGATGATGTCTCATATAATAAAATCTTTCTGTTCTTTACCTGTGCCTCTCCTGTTGGTTGTTTTGGTTCTGATAACTGATGTTTTAATGAAGTTTCTTGGAGCATGGCTTTTTTTTACTTAGCACTGCAATACTTTTCAAAGGATTCTACACTGGCAAAGTTGAAGTTGGTGTTTCTCAAATCGCAGTGCTTACAGCTACAAAGCTGGGCCTGAATTCATTATCTGCTCTTAAGAACTCCTCTGGAAAGCTGAGGAAAGGCTCCAAACCAGCCTCTCTTTCTCAGCACTAAAGAGTAGACAGTTTTACACAGAAAGCGTTGTTGAATGCAGTGGAAATATGTACTTGGTTTCCTGCAGTTGGTTGTCTGAACTTGCTCAGGTTCAGAAAAAGAGAACAAATCCAAGGAGATGACTGAAAGGAGAATAAATGGATGCCATATGCCTCCCTAACAACCACCCCGTTTTAATTTTGACAGTATTTTCATGCATGTGACTGTTCAGACACATGGTTTTACATCAGAGTCAGACTGCCCTCTGTGCCACAGAGCGAGCTGCTTTGGGGAAAGCAGTTTTGAATCTGTCTATACACATTTTTTTTGTATTTTTGAATTTCTATTAGCCCGAATCTGATGTTGGCCATGGATGAGTGTGTTCCCTCTTTGTTCTCCTGCCCACATCAATGCGTGCCTGTAAGTACAGGAAGGTACAACATAAGGGTGCCAGGATGTTGTTGCCTGGCTGTGGTGTCCCTTTTGTGTGACTGCAGTAACAATTCCCTTCTGCCATCCCCAAACCTGGGTGAGGTTTGCTACTCTACCTGGATGCATGGAAGTGCATGGGCCTGGCAGGATTCATCCCAGGGCACTCAGAGGGCTGGCTGAAGTCACTGCAAGACTCTCAGTTATTTTTCATTGCTCTTGGGAATCTGGAGAGGTCCCAGTTGAACTGGAAGCTGGCAAACATTGCTCCCATTTTCAAGTAGGGCGCAAAGGAAGACTCAGGCCTGTCCATCTCACCCGAGTGCCTGGTAAAATGATGGAGAAAGTTATGCTGGGTTACTGACAAACACCTGAAGGACAGTGTTTGTGGGTTGATGGGGAATGAAAACACAGTTTCTCCTAGGAGTAAAGGAATCATGTGGTTGTGGAACAGCATAAACTGTTTTCTTGGTTGGCTTGGCTTTGATTTTTTAAATAAAGAAAAAGAAAACTTGATGCGTCAACCGAGCACATTATTCCAAGTATTCCAGGGACAATTTCATTAATACTGCATAAAGAAAAGCCATCAGCACATGGGTGCTTATTTCTGCACATCCACACCCATTTCCCTGCTGCACCTCCAAGCACAAGAAGCAGCTCTGCCTGTCCCACTGCACACTTCTATGGAACCACTCACCCCCTGCAGCCACCAAACCCTTTAGGACTCAACAATGCAATCCCTGGTTGTAGGAGCTCCTTGTGTGCCTTGTCCCTAGACTTGCAATTTCACATCTGTCTAACCTGACTGCTTCTTTTGGCTCCCTTGCAGAGAGAGGCCCTGAGAACTGCTCAGCAGCCATCACCACAATTACTTCCACATCCTTATCCAAAAGCACTGCAGAACCTCGCAGGAAAAGGAAACAGACCTGAAACACCTCTTCAATAGGAATTCCTGCTAATTATTACTGGTCACGCTTTGTTAGATGGTTTTAATTCTTTTAATCTTAGTTTTTGAGCAATCAGGTAAATATAGTGAAGGATTTATATACACGCTCAATGTGGCTATTAAACCCAAACCTGTGATTTCCCAAAGCCACGCTTGTCTGACAAGAAACACATCCCATAAAACTCTCTCAAGAGTCATTTCTGGTCTCAAGTCATCACCAACTCCAGGGAGCACCCACTCTGACAGGTGACCCTTGGGTGCACTATTTTGGAAAACCTGCCTTCTCTCCCACAGGCTATTGAGAACTAACAGTGTGGGACTGCTGATTTTTGCAGTCTGCTCTTCAGACTCTTCTTACATACCAGTGGCTGAGGTTTTCCTTTGGGACATCAGAAGATCATCAGGTGCTGAACGTGTGTTGTGTCAGACCGATGGAGGTGTGAGCAGTGTTGGTGGAGGAGCTGTGCAGTCCGACCAGGCTCCATCATGACCTCACTTGCAGATCTTGGACCTGTAGATGGAGCAATTGCACTGCTGAAAAGAACCACGAGTGCCTGCTGACCCATTCCCAGCAATTCAGAGCAATATTTAGACCGGGAAATATTTGTCCCATGTGGCCCTACTGTGGCCTTTAGCTAAAAAAAAAACAAACACCACAACCACAACAAAAAAATAAACCCAAAAAATCCAAAGTCAGAAGAGCAGAGCTTGGCAAGCTCTCCTTCATGCCACAAACAGGAAGAGCATGCTGTGATGCCCTGCAGCTGCGCTGGCTTGTTGCATGCATGTTAAGACACACATTTAATCCCATCTCTGTGAAATATACGTTTGCTTGACTTTCTGTCATGGTGTTCTAAGGGCTTTCCAGTGAAGTTCAAAGGTAGTTACCTCAAAAGGTCAAACTGCTTCCAAAAAGGGAACAGACAAAACAGAGTCACTTCTGGATCTGTTGTTGGCTGGTAGTATTTTTTTTAAATGAACAAACAAAACCCAACAAATGCACACACACACAAATATTATTAATCACCAACTCCCATAGAACCACTTCCATCTGATTTATCATCAACTTCCTAGTGCAGTTTAAGAGCCCATCTGTTAATTCAAATGGATACGACCGGCCCTTTTTAGCACCACACTGGAATCAGGACACCTTTCACAGAAATGGATTGATTCTTGGAAAAATGGGCTGGAAAGAGATCTTTGCACACAATGTTTTTTGATCAAATTGGGCAAAATCAGCTGCAGGAAGTAACTGAGCATCTTCCAGCATCTTCCTACCTTCCACAAGTGGAACAAGCTCAGATGGAAGGGCAGCAGTTGGTACTTCTGAGGGCAGCTGTTGTCTCATATCCCTCTTGGAGATACACTTTTCCCGGGCAGCATAAGCAACGAAAGACTCCCACAAGGTTCTATAAATCAAGGATATGTTTTCAAGGCTTTTATTTTGTTCACTGCTATAACTTTGCTTTCTTTTTGAAAGGATTTGCAAGCACCAGAAGTGCAGTGTGTTATTGTGAATGCCTCTCCCTATTCCCTTTTTCTTGGTAAAGAATCCAGAAATATGCTGTGATTGAGCTCCATCAAAAAGGACTTGCCCCCCCAGTGGTACACCAGAGCTAAAGACTCACTGTTTCTACACTTGGAAGCAAATCTTTTTGCCTGTTTTCCTCAGTACCTTTCTGCTTATTTCTTTGAACAAATCCATTGGGAAACAAAATACCATCCATCTCCTCATCATCTCCAAAGTTCTTGCCTCTGTTGCTTTCCCCTGCCAGACAGCTGATGCAGGAGAAAACTACTGCCAGCCCGGGCCTGTGGAATAATATGTCCCCCATTGCTTTGTTTTGCTGATCAACTGCATTCAAATAGCAGGAAAGTGATCTAAAGCTCATCAAGCATGAAGTGAATATTTCAACATCTGGAAGTTGATGGTCCTAATGGTCTTCAGCGCAGCTCAGATATTTCTGGTGATGAGGAATGAGACGTTTTAGAAAGATCTTGTTGTAAGGGCCTCACCTCGCAGCCATCTAGAAGGTATCTAGATCATTCCTTCACTTACTGAGCTTAGTGCCCATGCAGCAGAATACAGAGAGAAAGTGCAGATGGCCCAGGCTCTGCCTCTTCTGGATGCTCTTTCGACACATCCAGAAGAGCAATGCACACATCTTGCCTTATCCGTGCTCCACAAAAATTAAAGATCAAGTCACAGTCACTGCCCTACAGCAGTCACAAAAGTCAGCTCTAAAAATTAATACTTCTGTTTCATTTCCTTGGGTTTTTTCCCCCTTACTTTCTTCATTTTCTAGCTAGAGCCTTTTGTGTAATTCCCAAAAAAACCCATCACACTCCAACTCAGATCTAAAATCCCTTTTGCTTGGATCTCCAGCTGCCTGGGATGAGGGGGGAGGGAGCAAGGAGCCACATGCCTGTACCACAACAGGAACCTCCTATTCAAAGCATTTTTCCAAAACAGTTGCTGAACCTGGCTAGAACACACCCAAGCACACCCACGGACAATCATAGAATGGTCTGGATTGAAAAGGACCTTTAATACCATCTGGTTCCAACCCCCTGCTGTGTGCAGGTCACCAACCAGCAGCCCAGGCTGCCCAGAGCCACATCCAGCCTGGCCTTGAATGCCTGCAGGGATGGGGCATCCACAGCCTCCTTGGGCATTAAAAGAGTGCTGGTTTCACAAACTACTTTCCCACCTTTCCTCCAGCAAGAGTTCAGAGACACCAGACACACTCAGTCCCCCGTGTCACAGGAGAACAACAGGTAAATAATTAAAGTCTTACTGAAATCAGTAGCTAGGCCGCTCTGGTAACAGAAATCCAAAGCAGAAGGAGAAGAGAAGGGAAAGAACTAATTCAACCTGTGATTAGAAAACAATGCACAACATCCTCTAAGTAACCTCATGGCAGGAGGCAGACTAAACCAAGGAAAAGAAGCAGTGCTAAATGGCAAAGAAAAAAGGTATGTTTTAAGCGATGGGCTCATGGCCTGAAAGCAGATGCATTATTTATTTCAACTATTTACGTCCCTTTTCATTCGCTTTGGCTCTGATTTGCTGTCACTGGTGAGTTACAAGGCTATTAATAACGCACAGCGATGAATAATGTATTCAGTTGCACCAACTGCATTGTGTTTGGCTGTATGGCCCAGTGAGTATTTATAAATTTATTACACCGGTGGCTCTTTTTCTGAATGGTAGCTAAGATGTGTGCACACAAACCCAGTACAAACCTATACAACAATTTAAAGAAGTGTTTTAAAGTCATTTCTGGAGAAGTAGCTGACACAAAAGCAGTCAATTGTCAACCCCAGTTCTGACAGCTGCCACAAGGCACGAATCACAGCGACAGCATTTCAGTGAGATGGTTGCACACAGAA